CTGATGAAGGGTCTAGGCCCGAAACGTCAGCCTGTCTGCTCCTATGATGCTGCTTGGCCTGCTGTGTTCATCCAGCCCTGCACCTTGTTGAATCTGCAACCTTCCCACTCCTAGTTTATATGGCTACTCCATTTACTTATTGAGCCATTAGATATGTTCCATTCATACATTTCTTTCATTCAGATTACTTTTAATATCTCAAACATATAAACACCTAAAGAAACTATTCCAACAAAATAATAAGAAATGTCTCATTAAGGCCCAAGTGACTTATTTATTATTGAGAAAACTTATTGGAAATATAGTACGATGCCAAGGTTGCAAAGAATATTAGAAAGTAGTACTTACTTGTTGAAGTTGGGACTGCTTTAAGCATGTTTAGGTTGTAATAGGAAGGAACCCCTGATAAAGATGTTCCAGTTTGAGCTCTTGTGGAAGAACAAACTGCATTAAAATCTATACATTTAAGAAAATAGGTCCTTAAGCACTTGGTTGTTCTTTCAATGGTCAACCTTGTAGAAGCTTTTGCCTGACTGTCAGTCATCCTTTGCTGTTGTTCAGCCCATCCTTAATGGATACGTTATATATGGATTTGGGAAGTAAGTTTTGAAACTAAAAGGCCATTCATTGCTCAAAACAAAGATGCTGGAAATGCTCAGGAGGACAAACAGCATCTGTGGAGAGAGAAACTGAGACATTATAAGAACATGGAGATTATTATGAATCTGTGTAAGGTGTCAGTTAGGCCACAACTGGGACACTCTGCAATTCTGGTTGCTCCAAAATGGGAAGGGTCTAGGGGAAATTCACCAGGATGTTGCCTGGGCTGAAGCATTTCAGCTATGAAAATAGACTTGATCTGCTGGGGTTGTTTTCCTTAGAACAGAGAAGACAGAGTGGGCACACAATTTTGTGTACCTCAATTATGAGAGGCATAGGGTAGATAGGAAGAAACACATTCTTCCCGTTAGCAGAGGGATCAATAACCAGAGGACAAAGATTTTAAGGTAAATTGTTGGCGGATAAGATTTAAGGACTTTTTTTAACCCAGTGGATAGTGGGTATCTGGAACTCATTGCCAGAAAGAGTGGTAGAGGCAGGAACCACACAATATTTAAGAAATATTTAGATGATCACTTCAAGCACAATAGCATTCAAGACTACAGGTCAAGTTTCAGCTAATAGGACTAACATAGTAGGTGCTTGTTGACTGGTTCTGACATCATGGACCAAAGGGCCACTTTCCATTGTGTGAAACTTTGATTATGATTAAATGCTATATCAGAGGTGCAAATAATTATATAGCAGCATCTGACTGCAACAATTAATGATAGGGCCCTAGTAGTGTTGTAGAGAGATCTAAGGGTTCAGATACATAATTCTTTGAAATTTGCATCACAGGCAGACAGGATGGTTAAGAAAGCGTTTAGTGTGCTTGTCTTCATTGCTCAGACCTTTGAGCATAGGAGTTGGGACGTCATGTTGAGGTTGTATGCCAGAATGTTGCCGGGAATGGAGTGTTTGAGTTATAAAAATAGGCTAAACAGGCTGGGACTTTTTCACTGGAATGTAGGAGGTTGAGGGGTGACCTTTATAGAGGTTTATAAAATCATGAGGGGTATAGATAAAGTAATAGTGAAGGTCTTTTTCCCATAGGGCGGGGGAGTTCAAAACTAGGGGACATTTTTGTGAGGTGAAAGGAGAAAGATTTAAAAAGGACATGGGGGCAACTTTTTTTACACAGAGAATGGTTAGTCTGTGGAATGAACTGCCAGAGGAAATGGTGGATGCAGGTACAGTTACAGCAATTATAAGACATTTGGATAAGTACATGAATAGAAAGTTTTGGACTGATATGCGCCAAATGCAGCTGATGGGACTAGTTTAATTTGGGAACGTGGTCGGCATGGACTAGTTGGACCGAAGGGTCAGAGATAGCAAGAACTGCTGGAGTCAGAGTCAATACAGTGTAGAGCTGGAGGAACACAGCAGGTCATGCAGCATCAGAGGTGCAGGAAAATCGACGTTTCGGGTTTACACTCTTCAGCAGGACTGCCTGACCTGCTGTGTTCTTCCGGCTGCACACTGTATTGGACTGAGGGGTCTATTTCCACGCTGAATGACTCCAAACATGAAAGAACAAAGAAATAAGATACCCAGACAAAAATGCCAAAGTAAAACACAGAAAAAGAGGGTGGCAGAGGTTGTTGAACTCAGTGGTGTGTCCAAAAGGCTGCAGAATGCCAAGATAAAAGATGAGCTGTTGTTCCTCAAGCTTATGCTGAGCTTCACTGGATCACTATGGCAGGGCATAGTCTGATCTTTCTGTCTAAGAGCAAGGTGAAAAGTTAAAAAGTGAATGATAGGAAGCTCAGGGTTATGCTTGCACTGACTGAGACAATTCCTCAAAGCAGCTTTCCAGGATCTGTTTGGTCTCCTCAATTTAAAGAAAACCCTCTGGTGCACGTGGTCTAATAAACCTCCTGATTACCTGCTATGGAGACAAAGTTCAATTTTCACATTAAGAATATTCTCCATCAAGTTTGACAATATCACTGTGCTAAATCAAAACAGGGTTTTCATGAGGCAGTGTGGATCATTAACTGTAGCAGAATTGTATTCAATCACATTCTGCTCTCTCATGACCCAGCAGATCCCCCACGCTACCATCAGCATCAAGTTGAGATCAACTGTGGTTTAATAAAAAGTGCAGGAGGACATACTAGAAGCAGCACCAAGTATATATAAAAATGAGACATTAACTTAATGAACCTACAACTCAGGATAAATTGCATGCCAGATGGTGGAATTAACATGCAATAGACCAGGTTAAACAAGTCCACAATCAACAAATCAGATCTAAGCTGTGCAGTTCTGCTGCATTCTGTCATGAAAGTTGGTGGACAATTATACAATTAATAGAATGCAGAGGCTCCATAAATGTTCCCATCGTCAACAATAAGGAGTCTAGCTCAACACTGCCAAGAGAAGGCTGAAGTATCAGTCAGAAGTACCATATGGATGATCCTAGCCAAGCTGTCCCAGGACAGCTACAACACTGTTACCTACTTGGTAATGTGGCAAATTGCTCGGGTACAGCCTGTGCATAAATAGCAGAACAAATACAATGCAACCAATTACTGTCCTGTCAGTCTACTCTCAATAATCAGCAAGATAGTGGAATGGGTCATCAACAGATTTATAAGGCTGGACTGAGAAAGGAATAACCTGCTCATTGATGTCAGTTTGGATTCTGCCTCATTAGAATCTTGGTTCACTACTGCAAAGGAGCTGAACTCCAGAAATCAGTTCAGAGTGACTGCACTGAACATCAAAGCAATACTTGACCGAGTTATAGCATCAAGGAGAATGAGCAAAACTGGGAAACTCTATGGTGGTTGGAATTACCTGCACAAAGGAAGATGGTGTGGATGTTGGAGGTCAATCATCACCAAATGAGTTCTTTAAGGTAGTGTCCGAGACCCCACTATGTTCAGCTGCTTCATTAATTATCTTTTCTCCATTGGGTAAGAAGAGGGGTTTTCTCTGCTGATTGCACAATGTTTAGCACGAATCACAACTTTTCAGATACTAAAGCAGTTTATTTGTACATACTGCAAGACCTAGACAACATTCAGGTTTTGGCTGCTACGTGGGAAGTGACATTCATTCCCTGTATGTAGCAGGCAATGATCATCTCCAATAAGACAGTATCTAAATATTCATTGACATTACCATAGCTGAATATCCCACTATCAACGTCCAGAGGCTTACCAGTGACCAGAAACTGATTGGATCAACCTTATATTGTCGCTACAAGAGCAGGTCAAAGATTAGGAATTCTTTGCAAAGTAATTTATCTCTATCTCCAAGGCTAATCCACCATCTAGAACGCACAGTTCAGGAGTGTGATTGAATGCTCTACACTTGCCTTGATGAGTCCAGCTCTAACAACCTTAAAGAAGCTCAATACCATCCAGGACAAAGCAGTCAGTGGATTGGCACCCATTCACCATCTTCACCGTTCACACCCTTCATCACAATGCACAATGACAACAATGCGTACCATTTACAAGGTGCATTGCAGTAACTCATCAAGGCTCCTTCAACAGCACATTCCATATTTGTAACTTCTACCATCAACAAAGGTAAAGGAATATCACTGCCTGCAAACTCCCACTCCAAACCATATCACCATACCATTCTGATTTGGAACAATATTGCTATCTCTTTACTGTCACTGTGTAAAAGTGTGGAATTCCTTATCAGCACAATGTGCGTCCCTTCCTATCCAACCCAACCCCCAAACAAAAAACTGTATTGGTTTTAGAGAGCCACATCACTACCACCTTTTCTGGTGTATATTTTTTGATTTGATTTATTATAGTGACATGTATCTAGGTACAGTGAAAAGTTTTGTTTTGTGTGCAGTACAGACAAATCGTAACATACAAAAATCATAAGGTGATAAAACAGACCGAGGAATACAATATTACAGGCAAAGAAAGTGCACAAAAAGCTAGATCAACATCAGATTTTAAATTTGAGAAGTCCATTTCGAAATCTAATAACAGTAGGGGAAAAGCTGTTCTTGAACCTGTTTGTACATGTGTTTAAGCTTTTGGAGACAGTAAGAACTGCAGATGCTGGAAGCTAGAGTCAAGAAAAGGCAGCCTGGAAAAGGACAGCAGATCAGACAGCATCTGAGGAGCAGGAATGTCAACATTTTGGGCCAAAACCTTCATCAGGACCCCAGAAGAAGTTGAAGAGATTACAACCGGGGAGGAAGGGGTCTTTGGTAATTATTGGCTGCCTTTCTGAGGCAGCAAGAAGCATAGATGGAGTCAATGGCTGGAAGGTTGGTTTGCATGATGGGCTGGGCTGTATTCACAACTCTCCATAGTTTTTTTAACAGTCCTGGGCAGACCAGTTGCCATACCCACCATGATGCATCCAGACAGAATGCTTTCTGTGGTGCATCAAGGATAAGCAATAAATAATAGCATATCAGTGACACCAACATCCTGTGATCAAATAAGGTGTCATTGAAAATACTACGATTTCATTTTTGTGTCAAAAAGTGTTTGGGGCCTTAGGTAGTGAGAGGGAAGGATTTGAAAGAAGTGCTATGCATCTTGTGGCTTTTCACGGAATAGGTAGTACCGAACTGGGTGACTGTGGAGTAAGGCATAGAATCATGGAGGCAATGATCTCGTTGGAATGCTGGAAAGGGTAGGCAAAAAGTGTTTGGTGATGGCCTCTTGCTGGAGCTGTTGAAAATGTCGGAGGTCGACCTGTCAAATACAGAGATTGGTGGCCGGATCCGAAAACAACAAGGTGCACCCCAGACAACAAGGTGCAGGGCTGGATGAACACAGCAGGCCAAGCAGCATCATAGGAGCAGAGCACCCCATTATGGTAATAAGCCAGAAGGGAAGGGGTGAGAGCAGGCATGCATAAAATGAATTGCAAACAGTTCTGGGCCCCACCAACCACACTAGATATAAATCTTTAGTTGAGAAAAGAGAGATAAGGTCCAACTTAACGTCAATATTTTATAAACTTTGTTGTTTAAAGCAGGCAGCCGCATACGTTTTACGTCAGTTCCGGTGCATGAACGTCACGGCAGTTTCTTCGCTGCCATTGGCTTGTTCTGTAACTGCCACTGAATTTAAAAGTTTAAACGGGCGCGCGGCCGCTGCTGCTTTTTGGGTCCTTGGTTTGTCTGGGATCTTTCGGTAAGCGCCTAGTATTGGGGAGGTGGGAGCCAGGGCCGTTTTTTCGGGGGGGGGAGAGAGAATCTCAGCCGGTCGTTCCTGACTTGGGAGGACGGGGCTCAGTCGGCTGTTTTGCTCCGAGGTGGAGAGGAGGGGGACCTAGATTGCTACTCGATCCCGGGAGGTGAGGGGGGTGTCGCCACCGGCTCCTGATGTACTCGGTCCCGGAGGGGAGGAAGGGAGGATTCAGTAGTACTGGAGAGCCCGCAGGGCTGTGAGCCGGGAGAAGGGCTGCTGTCTCTGAGCAGCAGCACGGTCACCTCCAGATAGTGGAGACTGGGATCTGTCCTTGAGTTGTTAAAGGCCGTGTTTCTGATGCGGAGAGTCCGTGGGAGTGGGGTGGGGGGACACAAACTGGGGTTTGTTCCTTTTTCAACAGCGTTTGATCGACAAAATGGTGTAGTGAGATAGGATTTATCGGTATGTCGCTGGTTTCAGGAAATTTGACTTCCACAGCATCTACATTTGTAGATATTTCACAGTATTTTGTTTTGCTGTATCTCCAGAGAGCTTTCGCTATTGTTTTGTTGTGAAGTGTAACTTTTTGAGAGCATTTTTTTAATGCCCCTCTGTTCAAGCTTGGTTCGCCCATAGCCAGCGTTTTGCAGCTACTTCACCCATCCGTCATTATGGGGATGCTTTTTCAGTTTGTCAAGAGATACTGTACCTGCATGTAATATATACAAGGAAGTCTTATAGTTAGATTGTCGACCGCAGCTAGAATTAGTAAAACCTTTCTGAAGTACTTTTAAAGAGATGGGCTATAAAGTATTTCAGAAGGCTTGCAGTTAAGGTTTAACCTGGGGTTAAACTATGTAACCGAAAGAACTGCGGATGTTGGAAATTAGAAACAAAGCAGAAATTGCTGGAAAAGCTCAGCATCTGTGGAGAGAAATTACATTTAACGTTTCGGATCGAGTGACCATTCCTCAGAACACAGAACTGAAGTTGTGAGGAAGGACCACTCGACCCAAGACGTTAACTGATTTCTGTTCATAGATGCTGCCAGACCTGCTCAGCTCTTCCGGCAATTTCTGGTTTTGGTTGAATTTAATTATGTAGTCCTTCAGGTTTAAAAAAAAATTGAAATGTAAACGAGAGAGATTCTTAAAGCATCTGTATTCTTCTCAGATTTAATGTTTTTAAAAGAAACTTAATCAACTAATTTGTATTACCACTTGTGGCAGACCATTTGTACTATGTTGTCATTGGAGAGGGGAGGGTTCCCTTTGTTTTATTTTAATTTGCATGTTTGACGTTGAGCGAGCCTGTCTATTAGAAGACCAGGAACGTCTGCCAAGAACAAGGAGGTCCTCCGTACTCTGCAGCAATTGACTTCTCGAAGTCTCTTTGCCACATGCAAAATACAAATCAGAGGTGGAATGGAGTGTCTTACGTAGATGAGTGCAGCTCCAACAACACTCTCTAGAAATACAATCCCTGCTTGAACAAAGCAGACTGCTTGATTAAACACTGTCTCAACCATTGCTGCATTGTGCTACATTGAAACCCAGCAAAGGGATGCAGTGCATCAACTTGACTTGGCCTCTCTTTCAAATCCACAGCAATCGCATGACCCTGCAAGTTAACTGAGTTTCATAAAACCAACATGAAATAAGGGAAATTCAACCTGATCTAAAAATAATATTAATCTGAAGAAGGGTCTCGACCCGAAACGTCAGCTTTCCTGCTCCTCTGATGTTGCTTGGCCTGCTGTGTTCATCCAGCTCTACACGGTGTTATCTCAGATTCTCCAGCATCGGCAGTTCCTACTATCTCTTAATCAAATAGTGTTTGTCCCCAACATCAAGATGGTTGGTGTATGTGGATAGCATATCACTGCAGCAGACCCCTTTTGCCAAGAGACGTCTACCTTTGCATGGAAGTGGTCCATTTTTTTTTTGCACCAATGAATTTCGTGCAACATTGTACGTGTGCATATTTGTGTGTGCGTGCAATCGCTGCAACACTTGATGGTATTGACAAATAAGGACAGTGTCTCATCAAAGTGACTGAAACCAGTCACTCCAGGTGGGTGTGAGAAGTCGTCAATTTTGATACGCACTCTTTATGGGAATTTCACATTGGAGATGGAACCTCGCCTATAAATAGTAAACCTGGGAGAATGGGGGGTGTGGGCGAATCTTCTGCAGGCAGAGTACACAAAGCATCTGTTGGTGCATTGTATTTCCAGCTGCTGTTTATGACAGAAAGAAGAGATGGGTTTTTTGTTTGTGACTACAGGTGTGAAGCTGGTGAAAGCTTGCTCTCTACAGTGACCAGATAAGATTAAAAACAAACATCAAAACGCTGAGTACTCAGGCCAACTGTGATATTAGCTACTGTCGATGATTCAAGACATTGATTAACAACTGGAGCCTTGGGTCAGAATCTTTAAGGTATTTAAATACTAATTTCCTTCCATATCTTTTTTTCTACTGGATGCTATTCCTATATACATGCTTAATGTCAACTTTTCTTTACCCCAGTGTGCATATGACATGATTGGTCTTTCATTCATGGACAGGTGGGTCAGTTTGTGGGTCATCTGGAAGATGGTATCTTTTTTCAGTGTGCATCTGTTACTGTGCTGAAGTGTCATCTGAAAGGATGCTTTAGTCATTCATGGACCCTCAAACTATAATGTACCGACTTGGGAAACAGTTTCTCAGACCCCAGTCTGACTTCCCCACCTGTGATTTGTTCATTTAAGTGCTGAAAATCGGTTAATGAAATGTGGATGATGTTGTTTTGCTTTTTGTTTTGTTAATGTTCACAGGAAGTGGTCTTGCTGACCAGGCCAGCATTAATTGCCCTGAAGGCAATTGAGTACACAACACTGCTGAGTGTTACAAGTCACATATGCCAGGCTAGATAAGGATAGCAGTTTCCTTTCCCTCCTTTCTCCTTTGAGGACTTTCACACTTCATGTGGATATATATATAAATTACTTTGTCTACTTTGGTTAATTTTTACCTTTTTTTTTGTGCCATTCAGTGACATCATGGCTTCTAGAACAGCAATCATAATGGTGGACACAGATAACATGCTGAAATACTTTGGCGAGAAACTTCATATTGTTATTGAAGATTTCAAAGAAAATACTATATGGCTGAAAGAAATCCAGGAGGAAGCCAAAAAGATGTTCATCAGGTTAAAAAGTGTTTTGAGATTTTGTTAACTCCATGTTAGCCACTGTACCTTTTTGCTTTTGATCTACTGTCACATTTGTAGATGTTAAATATGCACTGATTCTAGCAAAACATTGAGTAGATTGCCAAAGTCTGGTTTTCAAAAGAAAGTTGCAGATTTATACAAATTTAGACCTGCAATTCAATGAAATTTTAATGATTTGTTCTGGGGGTAACCCCTTAACCAGACTCTTAAATGGGTAGCTTAAAGGCAAGCTATTCAAAATGTTTTGCTGGGATTAATGAATATGGTTGTCACTTCAAGAATAACTGAATATTTTTAAGGTCTTGTTTACTAATGGTTTTTTCAAGTCTCCTGCTGATGCAATCACACTGAATTAAGACCAGTTTTACAATCCTGTTTCAGATGCAGCAAAAAAATCAGGCAAAATTTGCCAGCAGTATTGCAGCCAATTGCACTATTATTGGTTACCCAGTGAATCGTAACTTTCTTGGTTTTTTTATTTATTGCCTGAACCACTGCCCCCAGTAGAAATCCTTCCTTCCAAATAGCAATCTTTACAAATGGAGGTGTATTCTTCCTTCAGAGGATTAAATTCGATTAAATTTGGTGCACCCTTTGTGACAGTGTCTCCAGTCTGATTTGCCATTTCATCATTTTGGGCTAGTTTGATTCCAAGAACTTCAGAGTTATCTTCAAGGTTTATTCTATATTTGTACAGCTTTTGAAAGAACACTTTTTATTGTTGCTACTTGCTGTGAAAAGTAGCTGTATTTGTAACTTGACTACAAGACAGCAGACTTGCATCAACAATCCCTTCAGTCCCCAAAGGACCTGCTTTTTTGCCTTTTTATTTCTCAGATATTTACTATAGCTCGATTTTTAACTGAAAGCACAAACTTCCATAAATTCAACAGCACAGCTATATTTTACTGATACCTGTCAAAGACTCAATTCTTATGATTGTCTCAGTGTTTGTCTCACATGCAATATTAGATGAAAAATTTCCTTGAACTAACTCTAAAGAAATCTGGAACCATTGTCGATTGTCCCTATGACAATCTGTTTCCTGTGCTGTCTCCATCCTTGATAACTGTTGGAAGCTGCAAAGGCCTATTAACAATCTTTGACTTCTGACACAATTTCCTGTCTACACCATCACCAAAGTCCGTCTACATCCAGCTGTGTCATGTTACACAAGTCCATTTTAAACTCTTTGTTACCCAAAAACCTGGGTATTCTGTTGGTGGCCTGAATGGGTGCAAAATTCATTTAATGTAAACGTGGGCTCCTCCAAAATTCTGTCTATGTCTTAACACTCTTCAAATCTCATTTGCTAATCATATATGTGCTTTCTGACCATCATGAACTTCCCACCTGATGACATTGGCTTTAAAATTCTTATCTTTGTCTTCAGATCCTGTCACTATCTTGTCTTTTCTTGTGGCTGCTGCAGCCCGAAAGCCTTTTGATACCTCTGAATTTTTTCTGGTGTCTCTTTAATTGCTTAACATTGGTGGCGTTATTGCCAGTTTCCTTTGCCCCACGGTGTGACATCTCTTTTTTTCCCCCTATTAAGATTTCCTTTCAAATATGCATCCTAGATTAAGCTTTTGTTCACTGTCCTGATTTCTTCAGTGGTGTGGCAATTTTTTAAGTTTTAAAAAAAAACTTAAATGTATTGTGATGTATATTACTATGTTAAATGTGGTTCCAGAAATGAAGGTTTTTGTACATTCCTCGTTTAGGCCCAAGAACGAGGAATTGAACACAGGAAGGTTAAGTCTCCAACTGAAAATATAGAATCTCTCCACTGATACAATTCACCTAACAAATACTAAAATGTTAAGTACAGATGTTACAGTTCTCTTCAAATTCCGAGTCTTTATCATCAAAGAAACAGGGTAATGTGGGCTGTCAGTATGCAAGATTCGCTTGTATAAATGAGTAATAAACCCAAAAATATTTGAAGATATGTTTGAGTTTTACTACTAATACACAAATTGAAAATATTTTCAGCGATTTTACTGCAGAACCTGAGTTAATGCCGAAAACACCTTCAGAAAGAAAGCGGCGTAGGAGACGACCATCTATGGCACAGGATTCCAGTAAGAGGTAAGCGTATTAGTAGTGTGAAGTAAATTGACGTACAGTTTGAAGGCATTATTCTCTTGTGTGTTTAGTGGTCTAATCTCATTCTCTAGAAGTAAGAGTCATTTTGGTTTTAAGTTTTCAATAGTTCTGAATTCTGGAATAGTACCAACTTTGGAAACGAGCAAATGTAATACCACTGTTCAAAAGTGGGGTAAGGAAAAATGGGGACTAGAGGATGGTCAGTATGACATTATTTGGGGAATTTCTCGGACTCTTGCTGAGGCAATTCAATAGTATGACATTGTACCAACGTTGTGTTTGACAAATTTATTTAGGGCTTTTTAAGGGTGCACTGACAGTTGGGTGAAAAGAAGCCACTTGCACACTTGGATTTCCAAAAGACGTTCAATAAGGTGTTAAACCAAAGGTCATAGATAATAGAATGTTCTGGGAATTGCAACAATGTGTGCATTGATACTGGTTTAGTTAATGGACAGGAAAAAGAATCGTAATAATTGGGACGTTATGTCAGGGGTGGGGGGTGGTAGTGAGGGTCACTGTATGAGGGACCAAGTAAACTGGTTTTATGCTGGCATTGGAAGAATGAAATTTAACTTGTCAATCATGAAAGCTCATTGGGATAGGCATTAGAAGTTTGATTCTATTGGTTGGGCAATTTATGATAGTAGAAACTGGCCCAAAATAACCGGTTTATCATTCTTGACTGAAGTAAGAAATTACTTCATGCAAAGTATTGTAGATCTTTGATGACTCTGTCTGCAGAAGGTTGTAAATGCTCCATTATTAACTCTATTCACGGCTTGGATAGACTTCTGGTCTTGTGGCATTGAGGAATATGGGCATTGGTCAGGAAAGTGGAGTTAAGGCAATATATCAACCATGACCATAGCCGAGCAGACTCTAGACATGAGGTCCACTCCTTCCTATTTCTTGAGTGCTGTTCATAGAATGTAGTTCCACTACATTTTTTTTAACATTTGAAAGTCATAAAATGAAGGGAGGGAGGAGCAAGAAGGAAGAAGAGTCCACTTCCATTATTTGCTGAATTAAGAAGTGAGTTCTTGTGTAGATCAAAGTGCTCCTCTTCATAAGAGTCAATCCATAGCATGCTTCATGCTCTATTCTATGATCTCTTTTGGATTTTACTTAATGGATCATTTGGCAAGTACCATGAGAAGGTTTTTGCTTTGGCCTCCATTCAAGATTGGTGATAAGGCTTTTTGGTGTATTTGCTTTCATAGTAAAATAGTTGCTGACACTTTTTTGTGTGCCATCATATGGCAAAAGTACTGAACAACTCTAACTCGTGTGGAACTAAGCCAGTGTTGTTCGAAGTTTTGGTGAATGAGGGGAGGAAAGTCCCTAACTGTGTAAAGAAAAATTACAAAATTTTGCCAGTATGAAGGAGTGTTGGTTCTATTAATTTGGTTTTGTGTAGAGATTTTAATTTGAAGGATTTTATTTCTCTCCAGACTTTCGAGAAGCAGAAGACATTTGAGGCGCTCTTCAACTCAAAGGGCGAAGCTCAGAAGTAGGGTTATCGAGGAAGATAACAGAGGCTGCAACAAGGTAGTTGAGGAGCCAGCACATCCTGTACGTCTGACACGGTCAACAACACGTGCACTGGCAACTACCAATCTTGAAACTGAGAAAAATAATGAGTTTCCTATTGTCCCAGTTAATGGTCAAGTACCACTTGTTGTCCTGTCACCGAATGACAGTAAAACTATTGAGTTACACCAAAAAGATCAGGCAGCTAACTTTAAAACTCTGCCGACTTCTTCTGAAGATGTGAAGTTGTCTCAAAAGGAATTTGAGATAGAACCACCTCCCAGTGCACCTGTTTTGGAAACACTGTCTGCTGCCACTTCAGTGATCCCCAGGAGCCCAAATCGAGCAGCAACTAAGATGAAAATAGCAGGTGCTGTAACTGCTAAAGAAAATAGTGTGAATGAGTGTTTAGCTGATCGGGAGTTAAATAATTCTGTGAAGTCATTAGCTGCTAGTGAGAACTCCATCACTGAAGATGAAAACCAGTCTAGCCATAAGGCTAATCATAGATCAGTGCGGAAAAGCACGGCCAGTCGCCGGTCCAGCTGCCGCAGCCTAGTGGGTAAATATTCATTGAATATTCAACGGACCGTCATGGTACAGGAATCGATGAGGAATTCCTTGCGTAAATCCATTACCAAGAGGCAGAATGTTCTGGAGTCTTCTGCTTCCAACTGTAAGTGTACGTGTTCTAGAGAATTACAATTTGTCAACACATTATATCTCGTATTCTGTCTGCAGAATGGATAATAAAGTTCTACTTTCTGAGCTATACAAAACTGAACTTAAGATCACAAAATATTTCAGCTACATTTGCAAATGGGTGGATTTGCATTGAGACAAGGAAGAGAAGCCTTTTTCACAGCTTCTACTCTGTTTATATTAGTTGTTTATTTCAGTAAGCCCTTTTCTCTCCAAGCTCAGGCTTAAGAAGCAATGACTGGGATCATCTGAGATCCAGAGGTTAGTTATAGTCCCCATAATCTTGGAGGATGGCTTGAAAGAGTGAACATCGTCCAATTACGAAGAGGGTGCCCATTTGTCTACTGCTCTTTCAACCGTAAATTTGAATTTTATCTGTTTAGTAGCATCATGGCTATGTTTCAACGTTAACACCCCATTCCTCGGTTTCCTTGATTCCCTCATTGCTCCAAAATTATTGATTCTGACTTTAATGTATTTGTAGTACCCTGAAGTAGAGAACTGTGTAGTCTCCTTGTAATTTAACCTTTTGAATGTTTTTGAAAATCCAAATGTACACTATGCTTTGCTTTCATTTCACCTGCTGGCCTAGATGGATCACAGCTTCCCCTACTTTATGCTTTAGAGAGAAGAAAATATCATTTTTTGGTCTCCACCACAACTTGTACCAAGATTCCATCCTCACTCAGTAGCCACTGCCTCAAAGTTAACCATGGTGCTAAATTAACCATCAGTTTCTGACCCCATAGACTTGTCAGAATGACTGCTAGCTTCTTTGTAGCATGACCTGCCTCTGAAACCTTCCTTAATGCTGTTGTCATGTCAGACCTAAGCATAGTATGCTGTGCTGACTGACCTTCCACTCCTTAGTTTTCTCAATTTTTTACTATTCACTTTGTTCCACATCACTGTGCCCTTACTTGCATCCAGTTGCAATCATCAGTAATGTCCTATATTAACTAAACTATTTATGATTTGACTTGGACACTAATGCTCATAAGGAGGAAACTCCACAGCTTTTTGTTGCAATTCATTGTGATCTGTCCCCAGATGACTCTGGTCGTCTTTTTTGTTTTGTCATTTTATATGAAATGATTTGGATGAGAATATAAAAGGCATGGTTAGTAAGTTTGCGGATGATACCAAAATTGGCATAGGAGATAACGAAGGTTTTCTGAGATTACGAAGGGATCTTGATCAAATAGGTCCATGTGCTGAAAAAGGCAGATGGAGTTCAGTCTGGAAAAATGTGAGGTATTGCATTTTTAGTGCAACAAATCAGGGTAGGCCTTGTGCAATTAATGGTAGGGCTTTGGGTCGTGTTGTAGAACATAGGAGTGCAGGAACATTTAATTCTTTGAAGTTTGAGTCGTACATAGACAGGGCAATTAAAAAGGCATTTGGCACGTTTGCCTTCACTGCTCAGTCCTTTGCGTATAGGAGTTGGGAAGTCATGTTGAGGATGTACAGGACATTGGTGAGGCCTCTTCTGGAATACTGTGCCCAGTTCTGGTCACCCAGTTATAGGAAGGAAATGGTTCAGAAGAGATTGGCAAGGATGTCACTGGGTATGGAAGTTTTGAGTTACAAAGAAATGCCGAGACTTTCCTATTGGAGTGTAGGAGGTTGAAAGGTGACCCTACAGAAGTTTACAAAATAATGAGGTATAGATAGTTAATGGTGTTGTCTTTTCCCTAGGATGGAGTATTTCAAGACTAGGGGGCACATTGAGGAGAGAGATTCTTAAAAAGACAGGCAAACTTTTTTAAAGTAGGTGGTTTGCGTGTGGAAGGAACTTCCTCAGGAATTTGCCAGTGTGGGCACAATTACAACATTTAGACATTTGGATAGGTGCATGTAAAGGAAAGGTTTGGAGGGATATGGGCCAGGAGCAGACAGGTGGAATGAGTTTAGTTTGGGATTATGTTCAGCTTGGACTGATTGGACTGAATAGTCTGTTTCCATGCTGTATGACTCTATCTTGATGGGATGGTCAGTTAAATGATCACCCAAAATCATTGAAGTTGTCAGAGTAATTAGTGTGGGTTGTTTAGATGCAGATGTCCACTTTTTTTCTTTTCACTTGGCTATTGATTACTGTTCTGTACTTTTTCCTCTATTGTACTAGAAAATTTAACCAAATTTTGCAACTGACTTTGATATTCTCTCATAGTATTCCTTTCAAAATCCAAACTTGATCAGGTGCTTTAGGGTTCAGATTTTCTGGTTGTTTTTGTTTCATTTAAAATCTTACTTGTCTGTCTTGTCTTTTAGCTCACAATTGTTTTGACAATATGGATGAGAGAGCACGGTAAGAGAATATTTATTGAAATATTCATGCTGAATGTTGACTGACAGAAGTTCTTAAATGGGTCACAAATAATTGCAACGTTTGCAATACCTGCCTAATATTTATCCTATCTAGAGGGATTTGTTGAAGGATTTAATCTGAATCATCTCCCTTTTTTTAAAATTTTTTGGACATAAATATCCAAGTTTCTAATTTTTGTGGATATCTGAAGGAACAGTTCTGCAGGAGCTAATTGGTGGTCAGTATCTTGTTAAATCACTTTCTCCTCTTATGAGCAAATGGTGTTTATGGACAGTTCGTGCATAGGTGATATGATTTTCCACAATATCAAATAGGACAGGGGTTCTCCAACTTTTTTCACCACTTTTTTTGGTTAATCCCTTTTTAAAACCAACTCCTGAGGCCAATTTTTATGTATCCTGGTTTTTCCTGAGCTGAGACCCAGCAAGCGGACTGTGACAGGTAGTTATTAGTTATTACAAGTTACAATCTGCTGACTCAAGGTATGAGAACTGTAACTGATTTAAAAATGTTTGATCCTTAAAAATTGAGTGTTCTAGTTAATGAAAACTGATACATTGCTATAGATACCAGTGTAATTGGAGACATTTAAGACTTGCTGTCTGTCAGACTTCGCCTTGAAATGTCCATCAGTAGTGAAGCCAGAAGTTGTACTTTGTATGTGATAAATGCAACAATATGTATTTCTTGATTTAGAAATCTGATGTATGCATAACTGCACACCACCTTTTGAGATGTGAAGCAACCTATTCGGGAAATTTAGTTGTGAAGTGTTACTGTTTGTAATTATCATAAATATTAAATTGCTAAGATATGAGCACTGAGATTCTTTGGCAGTATAAAGTGTTTTAATTAATGGTTTAGTAAGCAATTGAACTTGGCTGTACAGTGCAAAATCTTAAGATGCTGGCTCTTTTTCAGTGTTCTAACTCTCTTGTCTCTAAGTTGGTTTTATATACTATTCCAGAGGCTTAACACAACTGAGGCTGACACGTGGTTATTGTTGAAAGAATGCTGCACTACTTGAAGTTCCATCTTTTGAGTGAGGTTGCTAAACTGAGTTCCTCAGTGGTCTTGGGTCCACAAAAGATTTCCATGCTGCTATTTGAAGGAGCAGGGAAATTCTCAAAGTTGTGGCCAATATTTGTTAAAAATAGTATCTCTAAGTCAAATATTTATCAACTGTTATAAAGTTGCTATTTTGCGACTCTGCTGTGCTGTGTGCAAGTTTTGGTTCCTGTATGAGTAAAATACAAAATGATGATTATGCTTCGATGGTTGTGGAGTAGTTTGGGATATCCTGGAGTTGTGAAAAGTATAAATTGTACGTCTTAAAGATAATACCAGGTCCATGCTAGGACTTTATCTAAACATTTGTCCATGAGGGTAAGGATGATTGCAATTGGTCTTTATGAAAGGGCAAAGTTTGATTAGCACGTATAAATCATATTACACATGGGGAACGGAATCGATTTCAGCATAGGAACACAAGCTGGCAGCATTCTCCTCCCTTGATTTTTCTATTTCAACTGCAAAATGGAGTTGGAGCTGAAAAGAGTTAATTTTGCTGTGAAAGGAAAAACACACAAACCTTTGTCTAGTGAGATGATTGCCAAATGTTAAATAGTAGATTCAAAGGCCTGTAGATGTAAAGGGAATTTTACTTAGTGCTACTGAGTATGTGTAAATGAGCTATGTCAACGTGAAAGCTACTTGCATAGAACTGCAATATGGGTCTATAGGCTCCAAACAATGTCCTCCCTTCCCATTTTTTGTAGGTAGTTGTTAAAATCTTTCACTCTTTACTCTCTCTCAGAATGTAGGCCTTGCATTACTACAATAGTGTGCAGGGCTGGATGAACACAGCAGGCCAAGCAGCATCATAGGAGCAGAGATTCTCCAGCATCTGCAGTTCCTACTATCTCTTACTACAATAGTGTTAGCTTCAGTTGTAATTAGAAATAAAGGCTTTTTAAAAATTACTCATGGGTGTCACTGGCCATGCTACATTGATTTTTTTTTTTGATAAAGTTGGTGTGAAATTCTTTAAACTGCGGCAGTGTAATCGTTGAAGTGGGGGCATGCATAATGCTGTCAGGAAAGCATTTCTGGGATCTTGATTCAGTGACAGTGAAGCAATGAAGATTTATAGATCCAAATCTGAATGGTTTGTACTTGGAGGGAAACTTGCAGCTAGTGATGTTTCTCTGGATCTGTTACCCTTCTTCTAGATAGTAGAGATTGTGGGTTTGGAAGGTGCTTTAGAAGGAACTTTGTATTACTGCAATGCAAGCTTTAGATGGTACACGGTTGTCACTTGATTTCAGACATTTACTGTAGTCTTGAATTTTAACACGATCATCATATCAGGTTGTATTTTATTAAGCAGCACTTTCTTTTAAATATTCCTTGTCTTTCAGAAGAATAACTTAATCCAATTTGATGAACCCAATTTCAGCTGTATTGATTATAAAGCATTTTACTTGTCAGTCTGAGGTGTGGCGACCCTTGAGTTAAACCACCACCAGTCTCTCTAATGAGAGCACAGCCCTATGGTCCAGTCGGACTATGGTAACTTTTTGCTTACAGGTTAAATAAAAAAAAAAAGGCCATGTGGTTTTTCATTACTGAAAATTATTTTGAGAAACCAAGCTATTTATAAGTGTACTGTAGTAGTAATAAGTCAATCTTGTGGTAACTTTTTAAAAATGTCATTCACTGCACATAAAAATAAGGCCTCCTCAAAGGACTGCTAACAATGAGCACAAGAAATGGACTTTCCAAATGGTGATCAATTCATCTTGGAGATTTGGGCAGGATTTTTTGTGGGTGTAATTTAATAGTTTTTCTTTTAGTCTTTACAAAATGTCAGAGAAACCCTGAAATTGGATGTAGTTTGTGCTTTAACATACAACATCGTGTGTTCTGCAGGTTTGTTTTTGTACATTGTGCTAAGTAAACTGATACAATGAGCAGAGTCTCTAACCTATTTATTTTTGCTCTGCATTTGGAAAGAGGTATTACTATCTCCATAGCTAAGCTGGTGAAACTGAAGATTAAGAGCAGGTCCCTTGGCTCACTTAGTTGAAAAAATGTTTCATTTTGGAAATTTTAACAGTTTTTTTTTTTAAATCACTTAGTGTTGATGAAAATTCTAGCACTCTGTTCAAATCTGAAGAGCCAAAGGAAGATGAGCAATCAGCCACCAAGGTAGGTTTTAAGAATTGGCATTTTTTAATTAAAAACTTTAATTTTTGTACATAACTTTTTCTGTTAGATAAATATGTATAAAGTAAGCTGCTTCACTTTGTATGCAGGTTCCTGAAAATCAAGAACGTAGATGCACACGAAGTGTCATGAGAAATGCCATCAACAGTCAAGATAAGGAGGTGGCAGCTAACATACAAACATGTAGAACGTCAAAAGTTCAGAGAAAAGGTGTGTAAAATTTGAAATTTCACAATTTCAATAAGATGTACTTCCATTTTATAATGAACATTTAAGTTTGCCATAATTTTTTTTTGAGTTTTGCTTAAAGATCTCCAGTCATAAAATGGATTAGAACTTTAGAAAGGATTATGAAAATTAGAACACATCTTCCTAAAATATTTATCCTCCAGCAGTGACTTCAGCACTTCTCCTTGGTAATATTTCTGACAATGGCAGATGTTTTAAGAAATAGCTCCCTGCTTGCAACAAAGATTGTATCCCAGTGAGAGATGTGATTAACTCGGAAAGTTGAGAATAGCATCAAATAAAAATAAATATCCAAAGTGGCAAAGATTTGTGGTGATCCAGAGGAGTCTTGTAAAAACTGGGAGGGGTGGAATAAACTGAGGGCAGACTTGTAAATAAGACTGGGCAGGAGCTTCTTTTAATACACAAAAAGGAGGCGAAGCCAAACTGAACGTAGGCTCATGAGAAAATGGCAGAAAAGTTGAATAAATACTTTGCATCAATCTTCATGATAAGGACATGAACATTCCAACAATACTAAATCTTGGAGTAAGAGTGGGAAAAGAAAGAAGCAGTTATCACCTAGAGAAAGTACGAGGGTAACTAATGAGGCTAAAAGCTGATGAGTGCCCTTGACCTGATTGGCTGCACCTTTGGGAAGTAGCTACAGGGATAGTAGAAGCCCTGGTCAAATTTTCCAAGAATCATTATATTCTAAAGCACAGGATTAGAAACCACCAGTGTAATATAATTATTCAAGTGAAGGAGATCAGAGAAAGCTAAGCATAGGCCAGAGATGGTAGGAACTGCAGATGCTGGAGAATCTGAGATAACAAGGTGTAGAGGTGGATGAACACAGCAGGCCAAACAGCATCAGAGGTGCAGGAAAGCTGACGTTTCGGGCCTACACCATTCTTCAGAAATCAGAATTCAGATTTCTGAAGAAGGGTCTAGGCCCGAAACGTCAGCTTTGCTGCTTGGCCTGCTGTGTTCATCCAGCTCTACACCTTGTTATCTAAGCATAGGCTAGTTAACTTAAACATCTGTTATTGATGTTCTTTTATAATAAAGGATGTAATAACAGGACATATAGAAATACTTAATCAACACTTCATAAATATAAGAAGGGGAAATCATGCCTGACCTCTTTGATGAAGTAACAAACCAACAGTATAGATTTAAACTACAACCAGTTGATGTAATACACTTGGACTTCCAGAAAGTGTTTAAGGTACCGCACATTAGGATACTTGAGAGCCTACTGGAGATGGTGTATCAGTATGAATAAAAGGTTGACTAACTAAAAAGATCAACTGTAGGTGTGAGAATTGAAATGGAAGTGCCAGAATCTGTTTCCTTGGTTTTCACATGCAGTATTCCTGCTAATGTTCTTTTGCACAACCTTGGGTCTGTGTGTCAGCAACTTTCAGAAATGGAAGTCAATGCTAGAAATGACGTAGGCATGCCGATTGCTGTGTGGACTCTCAATGGCTGTGCTGAGTACAGTTTAGGGGGAATGTTGGTCATCTGCTTGTCATGACAAACGCAGTGTTGGTGACAGTAATGATGACTAACATGTGTTTGTTAATAGTCTAGCTAACTGGTCTTGATCAAAGGATACAGCAATTTATGTAGAGAACATGTAATTCTGTTAGCATTTGTGTATTAATACATATTATCTTCTCACAGAGAGCAGTGGTTCTGACGAACCAGTTTCTCCTGATGGCCAGAGTGTTGGGTAAGTATCTATTGAGATTCCTGCCTGCCATTGGTTTAACTCATTGGTCTACGGTAACATGCAGAATTGAAGTGTAACTTGAGCTGGTACTCCAGTACTACTAGTGTTGGTTGCAAAGTGCACAATGAACTGTTCACCTTTTTAGGGGATTAGTGTGACACAATACAAGCAAGGGAATGTTTCAAAATTCATCTGAGATGGTGTCTAGAATCCTGAAATAGGCTGGGGAGGGTTGGAAGATACAAACTGATTTGAAGTATCCTGCAGGAATCCAACCTGGCGAGCAATGTACCTTCAAATGGGTTTGCTTTTTGTTTTGTCTTGAGCGTGTGGCCCCATTAAGCTATTGTGCATGATCACTATTTGCTGTGATTTAAGAGGCACCCTTGCACAGGGATTGTTTGGTTTGTTGCAGCTCAGCCTTAAGACAACATTGCTAGTGGCATATTTCTTAGAACATTTATTGGTATTCTGTTAATTCAAGGGTGGCACAGTGTCTCAGTGGTTAGCACTACTGCCTCACAGTACCAGAGACCTGGGTTTGATTCTCCACCCACACTGCTGCCGCCCCCCGCCATCTGTATGGAGTTCACACGTTTTCCATGCGTCTGTGTGGGTTTCCTCCCACAGTCCAAAGATGTGCAGGCTACGTGGATTGTCTGTGCTAAATTGCCCATAGTGTCCAAGAATGTGTAGTTTGGTGGGTTATAGGGAATGGGTCTGGGTGGGATGCTCTGATGGTCAGTGTAGACTTGTTGGGCCGAAGGGCCTGTTTCCACATTGTAGGAATTTTATGATCTGTTGGAGTTTTTCAGCAGGACAAGTTTTGTGTCTTCAGTGTTTTTTTCATAGCACCACATCTATGAACGGAATTTGAGTATGCTTGCATATGTATGCAGGCTTCTGTTCAGTTGAAGTTGCTTTTATTTTCTTCATTCGTGGGATGAGCGTGTTGCTTTTTAGGCAGCATTTGTTGCCCATTCTGAATTGCCTAGAGGGCAGTAAAGAGTCAACCACACTACTGTTGTTCTAGAGGTACACATAGGCCAGACCGGGCAAGGATGGCAGATTCCTTCTCTAAAAGAAATTTGTGAACCAGATGGGTTTTTCCACCAATTGGCCATGGTTATCATTAGATTCTTGATTCCAGACATGAGTTCAAATTCCACCATCTAGCCTGGCGGGATTCAAACCCAGAATGTTATCTTGGTCTCTGGATTAACATTCCAGCAATTATAGCATTGAGACATTGCCTCCCCACATTGGCTTGAGTAGTTTGAAGTATTATCCTGATGAATATCCAGAAGCGGGCTCACGCCAGGCAAGGCTTATGGTAGACTTTTTTAATAGTTTTATTATGCTTAGGCAACAAAATAGAACAATTGTTTTATTTGATTATCGTGTTTGCAGCTTCATTTTAACTTGTGTTGCGGTTTCTTAGACGGAAACACAGTTACAAGCGTGCAATGGCAAATGTGTATAATTACACTGAAGAATTAGAAAAAGATGACTTTCCACCAAGAAAGAAGACACCTTCACCAGATCTTGCAGCCAGCAAAGTAAGTTGAAATATGTAGTGTAGGGATCTCATAACAAGTGTATCACTCTGATCGAGACCATCCATCTGCTGTTTTCCTTCAGTTCATCAGTTCCAGCTTATCCCTCTACTCCAGCCCTGAACCAGCAAATTTCTCTAATTCCTCTCCTATATCATTGTGTTCTGAGTTCATCTTGCCTGTGAGACCTGCTTTCATATTGTTCTCGCTAAACTGTTAACCACTTTCTTTCCTGGTTCTATTGGCTGATATTAATAGTTCTTGTTCTCCCTCCTTCCTGAATTTATCCATGGCCCATTACTTCCTTATTTTGCTGTCAATTGGTGCTCCAAGACAAGATGAAATCCGGTTCCATGTATGTGTCGACAACATCTAGCCTCTGTCAGCCTGTATGCCTTGCCATACTGGTTGTCTAACATTTAGTAATGGATGAGCATAAATTTTTCGCTATCTAGAATTTAAGAAAACCCATTATTTCTTGTCTTGGCTACTAGGTAGTCATGTTATTACTGAATTGGTAATTCAGAGATTGGGTCCAATTATCCAAGAAGACTCGTTCAAGTTCCAGCAGTAAGCTTGCAACTTCAAATAATCCAAGTAAAGCTGGTGTCAAAGGTGTCCTTGAAACTATAAGATTTTGTTTTAAAAGATCTGTTTTAGTAATTCTACTTTTCTTCTCGGTATAGAAGAATTGTAACTATGAAAGTAGGTCCAGGCACCCTAAATGTATTTAGGCAAGGAAGGGGAAAGAAAAGTGTAGATTATTTAGGTTGTTGCAATCCAAAAGAGCTTGCTTTTGCACACCATTTTTGTCTTAACTTGCACTTTATTATCCAACAAAATTGTACTTAAAACAGATAGTGCTGCAGATTCTGAGGGAGTCTGGTAGTGAAGAAACTCGGACTAATTATCTCAGCAACTTTCAGTTTTAGAAGATGTGAAAATTTTGGTATTTGAAATTCTAGACTGAATGACCTGGGGAAGCCACGTTTGAGGATGGAAGAATGATGGCCTGAGGAAAATACGAGCAGAACTGTCAGATTAAACTTTTTTCCATTGGTTTGGGAGTAAACTTTTTTACATTATTTGAACTAAATCTCTGGACAAATTACCACCATATAGTCACTTTAGTAATATTGTCATCCATACATTCTAGATTGTCATTTCTAACAGTCCTTTCTTGGGTTTTTTAAAACCTTCCAATTTCTAAATACTTAGGTAATCTTCAGATATCAATCAGCTATTCTTGATTAGTGTGCCTGACTTGTCTGACCCCTTGTTTACTTGATCTTTTTACATTTTCTGTTCTCAACTTGTGCTTCAGTTAACCAGTCTGGCATGGGTGTGTGACAGGGACAGTTATTTTGGAATTATGTTCTGCCTTTTCTGATGATAGTCCTTTTGATTTGACTTTGGTAATTAACCAAATTCTAATTCAGATGAAAGATACTTTTTGTCAGAGTCCATATAAAATATTGTTTTCTTCTTCTATAGTATGCTATTGTAATACAGTTCAATACCAGTCAAGTTCAAATTTTAGGCCTTGCAGCATTTAAAGTTCCCGTGATCCTCAAAAGATTGCTATATCTACAGAGCCAAGCTATATAAATGAAAATTGTTTTTTCAAGTTGTAAATAAGATTAATGTTGTTTTTATCTTGTGTTTAAAAGGGACCTATGGGACAACTTTTTCATGCAGAGTGTAGTGCATAAATGGTGTGAGATGCCAGAGGAAGTGGTGGAGGCTAGTACAGTTACAACAATTAAAAGGCACCTGGATGGGTATATGAATCGGAAGGGTTTGAAGGGATATGGGCTAAATGCTGGCAAATGGGAATGGATTTATTTAGGGTATCTGGTAGAGTTGGATCAAAGGGTCTGTTGCCATGCTGTACCTCTCGATTGACTATCTGCTGTTGAGATGAATTCTGAACGTGAATTACTCCCACTTCGTAATTCCAGCATATGACAGTAAATTCTATTCTGTAGGTGGTTCGACCAAAGCACAAAAGCTTCCTCCATGCAGTTCAGAAGAATCAATTGTTGATGACCCCAGTATCTGTTGGCCGGACAGTAGTGAAGTCCTTCATTAAACGCAACACTCCATTGAAAGTTGATCCCAAGGTATGTGTATTCTGCTTAGGATATTCAGCCTTGAATACAGAGAATGCAGTCTTTGTCCAAGTGGCTGGTAGTGAAGAGTTTTGTGGTACTACATGTAAGTTTACTAACTTTTTGTAAGATACTGTATCACTACTTTTAGTAGTAAATTTTTAGCAAATCGCACTTAATGTATCTACATGATTCATATTTGCTTGTTGACCTGTTTTAGGAACAAGAGAAAGCTCGTCTGGCAAATCTAAAGAAGAAGAGAGAACAGGAGGAAGAAAGAATACAAAAAGTGGAGGAAGAGAAGAAACGCAAAGTAGAAGAGTTCAAAAAGTAAGCAAACATATTTTGGTGTGAATTCTTGCCTGTAATGTTCCAGACTGCATTAGATGTGGGGTTGGAGAGAGAGACCTGTATCATGAGCATAATTTTAGAAGTATTCTGTTTAGACTAGTTTTCTTTATGTCCTAAACCATCACCTTATGAAACTCCCTGTATCTTGCTGTCGGCCAAGTCCACTTCTTTTGTGTAATTATTTTTATAGCGAGAAGGCTAAAATTGTTTTGTGCTCCAAATACGGTCCAATCAATTTTATGCAATTTTAAACAACTCTACTTTTTCAGTTTTGTATTCTGAGAAGGAGCCTGTACTTAATGGCTTCATGAACTTGTGCTGCTATAAATGTTCCCAATAGACTGTACTGCAATTTGGAATGTGCCACAGTGCAATAACCAGACTGCACAAAACTGAAGTTCCTTTGTGATTTTCTTGATTTCTGTATCCATAACCCAAGATGCCTAATTCTTATTTCCATTTAGATTATAGTCTAAATGATATGTAACCTCACTTTTCGTACCAGGATATGCCACCTGCTAATTGATTCTTGTATAAATGTAACTAGTAAGTTGCAACCAATTCAATAGCTGTCTGATGGCAATACTATTTTATGCTTATTTTGATGCGAACTTAACTGCAGTGTCAATAAACTAGTGGTCTGATTGTTAAATGCTCAGTAAGTCCTTTGGGAATTTTGGATTTTAGCAAAACCCTGACTGGAGGAGCAGAGTCAAATGGGATTGTGCACAATCTTTTTTGTTACATAAAACAAAATGGTCTCGTGGTGGAAGATGGCTTTGGGCTTGAAAACAACAAAAGCTATATTCGAGGCTATAAAACAGATTATGCTGCCCGGAAGTCATTTAATATCTCTCAATTTTATTCTCTCAATAGGGAAATTGTTCTTTTTAGTGAATTGAAGTAGTTTGAGTCAAGTGATTTGGTTATCTTGTTTGCTGAGGTTTAAGGTGGTTAGATCGCCTCTGCAGAGGACGTATCATATCCTTACAGTGCGGAAGCAGGCCATTCGGCCCGTCGAGTCCACACCAACCCTCCAAAGAGCGTGCACTTCCTGTAACCCTGCAGTTCCCATGGCTAGCCCACCTACCTTGCACATTCCTGGACATTTTATGGACAATTTAGCATAGCCAATCCACCTAGCCCACACATCTTTGGACTGTGGGAGGAAACCCATGCAGAAGAGGCTGGAATCGAACCCAGGTCCCTGGTACAGTTGGGCAGCAGTGCTGACCACTGAGCCACTATGCCGTATCTTGATAATGTGCAACATTTATGAAAGTGCATTTGGGACTTGCACTGAGGTCCAGGAGTGGCATTTGCCTACCAAGATCCTGGCTTGTCTTGAGCTTCGTTAGCCAGGACATTCACCATGGGAGATGACACATGTGGTTTATATCAAAGGACCTGCTGGTGATTGCCTCTGTTTTCCATTCTTTGACTTAAAGGATGTGTGCTGATAGATCTTGCAAGGGAAGGTTTCACCATGTGGGATGCTGAGATTGAGGACAATAGGTGGACTGAACAGGTCATCCTGAAGTTAGCAAGTGAGTTGCAGCATGATGGTTTCAGCCAGCTTGTGGACTTGTCAGTTGGATCATGTGTGGAGAGTGGTGCTTTGAGGACAGGCATGCTATCTGAATCTTGCAGTTTGAATGTTGAGCCTTTTGGCTGCCAAATGAAAAATCATTCAGATTACTTTTGAGTGGAAAGCTTAAGGACATTGAGTCTCTTTTTAATCAAATTAATAGAGCTGGAATATTGCTTAGTGGTGTGATGAACTTTTGGTTTGAAGACTAAAGGAGGCTTCCATAAATTCAAAACGTGGAATAATTATGATGTTATGGATATTGGAATTTATTTGTCAAAAATAAGACTATGCAAGACAGGTTTTCATTTTCCCTTTTGAGTTTGGTGCCTGTAATTTCAGTCTGTTCATCACCATTTGGGAGGGAAAAATTTTTTGCTCAAGTGATTCCAAAAGGATGTAGCTGATCCATGGGATTAATTACCTAAATTTTCGTTCATCCAAGCTGACCTGTTAGGAGGTGGTAGTAGGGACCTTGAATAAACAATGATTTGAAACTTTATAAAATTCTTTTCATAGGAAGCGGGAAATGCAAGTGAAACGTGTTTTGGAAACTCGTTCCCGGGTTCAACAGCAAGAAGAAGAGAAGAAAAAGAAAATTGAGCAGAAGTTTGCACAAATCAATGAGAAGAATGCAAGGGTATGTCAATTCTGATGCTGCCTAACTACAGAGAAATCAAGCATCAAGCAAGCAGGAAAGATTTAATGTTCCTTTTAGTGAAAATGCAAATTTAATCAAGGGATTAACGTGGGATTCTACACTGCATTACAGATGCGTGAGGAAAGATTTGCTGAAGAAAAAGCGAAAAGGAAAGTTGCTGCCAAGAGGATGGAGGAAGCAGAAGCTCGAAGGCGGCAAGAGGAGGAAGCCCGAAATGAGAGATTGCAACAGTTGGTACGGTTGCTGTACTTTCTTTAACAAAAATCTTAGCTATTTCTCTTGCCGTGTTAAGTTTCCTTGGTTGCAGTTCTGTTAGAGCTTTAATTCCTTTGGCACTTCAATCAAGTAACTTTTCTTCAGAGCATGTCTCATTATTAGTGTCATGGACCAGACCAAACACCTTCAAAACGTTAGGAAAGTCTAGACTGCAATTTTTGCATAATTCTAGAGGCAGGTACAAGGTGGTGGTCTTGATGCAATTCGATTGGTCAACTACTACCAGGCTTGAAGCAAAACACACTTTTCTGACACTATAGCTAAAATACAAAAAGATTTGGAATAATTTTAACTCTATTGGTAAAACTTTAGCAGAATAATAGTTCAACTAACAAACATCAACTGTTCTAATACAGTTACATCCCAAAAACACACCTTTTGGCAAAGACCAATTCAGTGAAATAAATTTCCTGCTGCAAGCATTGCATGTGAGACAGAGAACCCAAGCTTTTAGCTGTAACTGAACTAACCGAACCCAGATTGAAGATCCCAGTGTCTATCGAATGCTAAACTAAAATCCTGGTTCTGTTGGTGCTTGCCCCCATCCCTTCATGCTTTCATGCTGCTTCTGTTGCAACTTTCTGGGGGAAAATCCAAGGCCTCACAAGCTGTTTACGTTATTGGCTTGGAACAGATGACTTGGCACCTCTGTCTCAACCCCTTCTTACAAGGAAAAAGGATGAAACACCTCTTGAAGTCAGTGTCATCACCATGAGGTTTAAGTTCAATTTTAACTGAATATTTGATTCTAATTACTTAAGCTTTGTTTTATCATGATTTGTAATCATTATTCATTTAATGCTCTTCCAGCATTCTGCTATTTGAGTTCATCTCCTCTTAAATACTCTTACCTGTTTGTTGAGTAAGCCATTTGTTAGTGGACCGTAAGTTCTGGGTCTTTATCTACCTTCTGTGGATTAAATTTGTTGCAACCCACTCTACAATGTCTTGCAAAGCTCAATTCAGATCTACTGTAAGGTTAAAACTATATACCATAAATGATATGTTGTACAAGTGTCCAATGGTGATTCCAAGTCTGAGCAGCCAGGTATAAAGGCTACAGTTATTCAAATCCTTCCTCTTGCAGGAGGAGGAACGCAGAGAACTGCAGCAGCGCAAGAAGGAGGAAGAACTAGAGAAGCAACGTAAAATGGCAGAAGCTAGAAAACTTCAAGAACAACGGCAAGCTAAGTTGGAGAGAGAACGATTGCAAGAGCTGCAGCTGGCTGCAGATAGGGAGCGGGAACGAATAAGGGAAGAAGAGAGTATTCGGGCGGAGAAGTATGTAGCAAAATGCTGCACTGTCCCTCTCCAGAGATAAACTTAAAAACCCATGTATTTGTCATACCACCTTTTGTGGTATTAAGATTTGTATTCAAGAATCCAAAAAAATTAACTATTGCCTTAAAAACAAATGCAAATTTTGGAAGGAGAATCCAAATTGTTTGAGTTCAAATTAGTAGACTTGTTAAACATATTGCTGCAATCATATTTGTGCAAGATCTAGAATGAATAGTGCACTTACTTTTCAGAGAACGTGAACGACTAGAGAAGGAAAAGGCCCTTCAGTTACAGCGAGAGATGGAGCGAACAGCACGGGAGGATGCTGCATTGCAGGCTCAACGAGAAAAGGAAAAGCTTCGCCAAGAAGCACAGGAGAAAGAAAGAAAACGGGTAAGGGGGTCTTGCCACCTCTGCGCTAGCTGCCTCTTGCCACTAGCTTTCAAAATTTCAAATATGATAAAGTTACAATGAAGCTGGCAACTTGTAATTTTATAAACTCCACTGCTGTCTGACCAGTGGCTCATTTCCACATCAATCTGGTTGACTTTTCATTGCATAATGTACTGATGTCCAGCAAGCCACAAAAGTTGTGGCTAACCAAGTGCTATAAATGCCAATCTTCCCAGTGATGTTCAGTGAAAAGTGGAGGAGGGAAGGGTAGAGGCAGCACCAGCTATTCCTAAAAATGATGGTCTACCTGGTGGAAGCACAATAGAGGATTATTCAGGCAGACAGAAATAAGTGATTTCCATAAGTCAACAAACCAAATCTAAACTCTAGTCCTATCACATTGCTAAATGAATTGTGGTGGACAATTTTATGTCCTGCACGTGAAAAGCAGACAAGTTCCAGGCAATGACCATATCCAACAAAAGTGAATCTAATCATCACCCTATGACAATCGATAGAATTGCAATCACTAAAACCTGCCCACCATCAACATTTCTGGAGATTACTGGTGTCCAGAAACTCAGTTGGCTAATCATTTAAATATTGTGGCTACAAGAGCAAGTTAAAGGCTAGGAATTCTTCAAGTAACTTGCCACTGCCTGTCAATCTACAAGGCACAGTCAGGACTGTGTTAGAATACTACCTATTTGCCTGAATGAGCTCCAATAACACAAGCTTGACATCATCCAGGACATCTGGCACTCCACGCCTTCACGATTCCCTCCCTCCATCACTGCACAATGGTGGCAGATGCACTGCATAGTTTAAAAACCTTGCTCAACAGCATCTTCCGAACCTGTGACCTCTATCCCTCAGACTGGAGCAACAGATGTGAAGGAACACCACCTCTTGCAAGTTGCTTCCAACACATTGTCCTGACCTGCATTTATATTAATGTTCTTTCATTGCTGCATCAAAATTTCAGAACTATTTCTAAATGCACTTTGTCCCTATGTCGTACGAACAAACTTTAAAAATAAATCCAACCCTGCTAATGAATTACTGCTCCATCAGTAAAATGTGGGAAGGTGCGTTGGCATTTAAACGTCATTACTGAACAATAATCTGCTCTGTCACTCCATTTGGGTTCTGTCAAGTCTACTGAGCTCCTGACCTCCACTTTGGTACAAACATGTACAAGATTTAAATTCCAGAAGTGAGATGAGAGAGTATGCCCTTGACATCAAGGCAGCATTTAAGTGAGTATGGCATCAAGGAGCCTGAACAAAAATTAAGTTGATGGAATCTGGAGAATACTTTTCATTTGTTAAAGATCATACCAAGCACAAAGGAAGATGTTTATGGTTGTCGGTCAATAATCTGTCCCAGGAAATCGCTGCAGAAGTCCAAGGTCTATGTCCCTATGTTCAACCATCATCTGCTTCATCAATCACCTTGCTTCTGACATTGTGATAGAGAGAAGGATGTTTGATTACTCAGTTCAGCACCATTTGCAACTCCTTGGATAACAAAACAGTCTAAATGCAGCAAAACCTGGAAAACATTGGATTTGGGCTGATTTTAAGTAGCATTACTCAACCAGCCATTTGAATTGTCTCCAAAGGCAAGGAATTCTGCAGTAAGTAGCTTGCCTCCTGACTCTTCCAATCCTGCCTATCGTCTAAAGGATCAAGTCAGGATTGTGGTGGAATACTTTCCACTTGCCTGCATGAGTGCAGTTCCAACAACACAAGCCTAATGCAATTCTGGAAAAATAACCTGTTTGGTTTGGCAACAAAATTTGCTGTAAGCTGTACATGTGCGCAGTCACCCTGACTGTGATTGGTGTGCTGACACCATTTGCAGCATTGACTTCCAATTCTCGAAGTTGCTACCATGCACAGACCTTTTTGAGGTGCACACAAAAGCAAGAAAGTTAGTGGGAACACAGGCATCCCATTGAACACCTTCAATCTTCACTCCCTCCACCACCACACAATGGCTGTAGTGTGCAATCTATCAGATGCCATGTAACGACTCAAGATTACTCTGACCAGTAGCTTATGAACCCATGACCTCTCTGACCTAGAAGGACAAAGAAAGCTGCCTGTAAATTCCCCTCCAAGCCACATACCATCCTGACTTCTAACTATATTGTAGTTCCTTCCTTCTTCACTGCTGGTACAAAATCGTGGAACTCCCTTCCTAATAGCATAGTGTGTACCTACTCCTAATGGACTACAGCAGTTCCAGAAAGCAACTTCACCACCTCTTGGACAATTACGAATGGGAAATAAATGCTGGCCTAGCCAGTGACACAGTGAATCCTTTTAAAGAATTTTGTTTTTTGGTGTCACTAGCATTCATTGCTTAGTAAATGATCAGTATAATTTTACGTGAGTTGGATTTTTGCAGTAAGTGAATTATTAAGATGGTCTAATTAAATGTATGTCTATACTTTGAGTTTTCAACTTTTGGAAGAAGAATTCCAGGATATACGGCTTTGTTATTCGAATTTTCATCCGGTAACAATGGAAAAAGGTGCTGACCCTGGTCTCTATTTTAAGAAGGTTTTTTAATCAACCTGTTCAGACATGTTATGACATCTCTGGAGCAAGAGGGACTTAACTGAGACCTCCTGGCCCAGAAATAGAACACTACAATTGCACTATAATAACCCTGGGATGTTGCTTTGTTTGTTAGACAATTACTTTCAATGCCTCTCCAATTACCATAAAGAAACTATCTATTCACTTGCTAAATATTGGTTGTCGGAAATTCTTGGGGTCCATTGTTGCTGGACTGCAGTAAGTTAGCTGATCTTTCCTCCGGAGAAGTAAGTGTTAAATTGTAAATTGTACACTTAAATTGTAAAGTGTGTTAAATTGTCCTTTGGCTCAAGAGTGGGGAAAAAAATCTCTCAAGTTTCTTAGATTAATACTGAACAGTCTCAAGCTGTTGAGGACAAAAATTAATGGAATAATTTTTAAATTTGTGTATTTAGCACCTGCACCCGACTAAAAGCACTGGTTACATGATCTGATATCAAACTCAGGCTGCTATCGTTCTGCTTCATTGTTGGAGGGAAGAGCTTTTGGAAGGAACTCAATCTATTTTAATATCTACTTCTCCATGTTAATTTTTAAGATTGTGTGAAGTTTTCAGCTTCTCTTCTAGTGCAAGGCAAATCAAATGCCACTATAGGGCTGAATCCCATTGCTGTCTAAGGTCTTTGGAAATGTTTGTACAATTGTTACTCTTCTATTAATATGGTAATTGTGAGCTCAAGTTTATACGTACATGTCCTTGTAGGAAGAGCAGCGTTTGGCAGAGCTGGAAAAGCAGTGTTTAGAAAAAGAAAATAATAGAAAAGAGCAGGAAAGACTGGAGTCTGAGCGACAAGAAAAAGAGAAGAAACTTCGTGAAGCTGAGGAAAGAAAATGGAAGGAAGAGCAAGACCAGAAAGCAGAAAAGGAGGTCACCAGCAAAAATGTACTGAATGTGACTGTGGAAGTGCATGTGAGTTAACACTATTTGAACTGCATCTCCCATTTAATGCAGTGTGTCTTCAGTACTAGACAAAAGTATCAGCCCAGATTACATGGACGTGAGAAACAGGAACAGAAGTACAGCTGCCAAGCCTGCCCTACCATTTAATAAGATTACAGTGGAAGTTCGTCAAATCGGCTTTTCTGTCCTGACTATATATCCTATTTTTCTTTTATTCCTTTTAATGAACCAAAAATATACTTAACACATTCAGCCTCATCTTATTTGATGAGTATTTGTAAACTTCTTGCAGGCCAGAAGTGCTAATGGCATGATCCACTCCTGTTGCCTCCTGAGCTTCCCAGCATCACATGCCAGTGTTCAGCCAATTTGATTCACTTTGCATGTTAGCAACAAATGGCTGAACAACAGACTGTCACAGCCCATAGATTTTGCAATGTTCTGGCAATAATATTGAAGACTTGTGCTCCAGAGCTAGTTGTATCTTTAACCCAACTTGTTTCAGTCAAGCTACATCAGTTGCTTCTGCTTGAAAATGCAGAAAATTACTCCGGTATATACTGTCGACAAAAACCACAATAAATCCAATTCAGCCCAATTACTACATCAATTCACTCTGCATAATCAGCAAAGTGTTGGAAAGTATTGTTAACAGTGCTATTAAGTGGCACTTTAATTAGTAGTAGCCTGCTCGCTGATGATTAGTTTTAGGTCCTGCAAGGCCCTTGGCCTTTTGACAGAGGGTAGGATCAGGAAGCCTGAGAAACATGAAAGTAAATGGGAATTTTGGCAAAAACACTCTGGTCATGTCTGGCACAAAGGAAGATGGTTGTGATTGCTCAGTTCCAGGGCATTATTGCGGGAGCTACTCAGTGTACCATACTACAGATTTTCTAATGAACTTGTTCAAGAATGTTAATATTTATTGCTAAAGCAGGTGTGACCGGAACCTGGGCCTCCTGGCTTAGAGCCAGGGAAAACCAGTGCACCAGGAGTGCTAGTTCTTCAGGGTAGCGTCATATAGGCACAATCCTCTTCAACTGCTTTGTCAAGGACCAAACTTGCAAATTAAGGCCAGAAGTGGGATGTTCACTGATTTTTGCGCATTGTTTAGCCCCATTTTTAATCTTCAAGTTTTGAGTCCACTTCCAGCAAGACCTAGACAATGTTGCTCAGGCTCAGGCTGAGAGATAGCAAGTAAATCATGTGACCCATTCCAGGCAATGACTACCTTCAAAAAATCTTAAAGCCCTGTTTACATCACCCAAAAAGAAATCCATGGTGTTACCACCGAGTCCCCTACTTTCCTGGGGTACCATTGACCAAATCAGGTGGGTTAAAAGGGGGATGGGTTTGGGTGGGTGCTCAGTCGGTGTGGACTTGTTGGGTCGAAGGGCCTGTTTCCATACTGTGTAGGGATTCTATGATTCTAGATTCCGATTTTGGACCAGGCATATAAATACTAGTGCTACAACAGCATTCCAGCTTGACCATCACCCCATTGGCAACTGGCATACAGTAACAGGAGTACATACCAAATACAATAGTGGAATTCACCGCATCTCCTTCAATAGTATCTTTTCAAAACCATGATCTGCCCCACTTAAGGGCAGCAGATACGTAGCAACAAGTCTGCTTACAAATTCCCCTCCAAGTCATTCTCTCATCATCCTTACTTGGAAAAATATTGCTCCTCTTTCACTGGGGTGAGATCAAAACCCTGAAACTCCCACCTTTTATCACTGGGTATAACTGCACCAGATAGATCGTGGTGACTCACCACCAACTTTGAGGACAATTCAAGATGGACAAGTGATGATCTTGCCAGCATTCCGTGGGGAGAAATGGGAGTAAGAAAAACTCAGCATTCCCTGAGGGGGAAAAAAATTGCCTTGCTGTATCCTAAGTTGCTTGTCTATTCTTGAGACACTCTCGATCTAGATTTTTTTTTTAGTCAGGGGTTGTGGTCTGTAGGCATCCACTTCACAAAGTACACTCAATTTTAAGATGGAAGTATGTCTTCCAGTATTGTCTGTTCTATCAATCTAAGATCGTGCCTGATATATAAACATGTTGGTTGTATATCTGACTTTGTCCAAAATTCCTCAACTCTTGTAGAATGAAAATCTTACAATCTGACATTTTAAAAATTTACAACTGATCTCTCGGCAATTTGTGGAAGAGAATTCCAAAGCTGTACCACCCTTTAAACGTAGAAGAAAGGAGCGAGAGTGGACCATTCAACCCATTGAACCTGCTCTGCCATTCAATATGATCATGGCTGATCATGAAGCTCCATACCCTAAACCTTCACTTCTCCCCTCCCAAATTCCTCGATCACTTTAGCTACAAGAGCTGTATCCACATCCTCCTTGAAAACAATGTGTTGGCCTCAACACACTGCAGGCTTACACTTGTACTTAATTTTGCCCTTGTTCAGACGTCAGATTCATTAACTCTTCTCAATCTTGTCTATTGTTTTTTGCCAATTTGTACTTTTTTTTATTTGCATCTAACATAATGTCTAACCTCCCTCTTCAGCCATGGTTTGGCCACGGTTCTCTTTGCATATTTGAGCCAGAAGAAGGTAAACAATTTTTGTTTGAATGTTTGCTATTGCCTACCCACTCATTCTTTTCAATAATATTTCCTAAATCCATCATAGTGAATTCATGCTTCCTATATCATAGTTTCTCTAAGATTCCAGACCCTAGTCTCAGAATCAACTACATTATGCTTCATCTTGATGAAGCATTCCATCATGTTATGGTTTCTCATCCAAGAGGTGTCTCATAACTACATTACTAGTTATTCCTTTCTCATTGCATAACACCCAGTCTAAGATGGTCTGTTCTCTAGTTGTTGCTCAAAGTATTGGTTCAGAAACTATCCAATATACACTCTAGGAATTCCTCCTCTATGGTTTTATGACTAATTTTGATTTGCCTAATCTATATGCAGAATAAAGTCATGCATAATTACAAACATTCCTTTGCTGTATACCTCTGATTTTCTGTTTTAATTGCAATTGCTACGGTTTATTGGTCTATATACCAAACTCACTAATGTTTTGTTGCTTTTTGAATTGCTCAATTACGCCTACACATTAGCTCAGAATGTAAAATCTCTTCCCTCAATATTATTTATACCCTCTTTAACCAGCAATGCAACTCGCAACTTTTTTGTCTGTCCACCCGAAATACTGAATACCCTTGGATGCTTGGTTCCCATCTTGGTCACTGCAGCCATGTCTTTGTAATCTCAACCAGATCATACCTATTTGCATGATTAGTTCATCCACTTTATTTCAAATGCCCTGTGTTCAGGTGCAAAGCCTTTAGGCTTGCCTTAGTGTTCCTTGTCTCGTTCCTACTTTTTTTTGGTTTACTGTTGCCTTGGTTGATTCTGGTCCATGATTCCTTTGCCTATTTCTCCTCCTTACTTCCCTTTCAGACGTTTTTATTCTTGCCCTTAATTCCCTTTCCTCTGACTCCATGCATAGCTTTGCACCCCCTTACTAATTTAGTTTAAACACTCCCCAAATTGAGCGCACATTTTCCCCCCCCCAGGTCCTGCCGAGGTACAACCTATCAAGTTTGTAATGGTCCCTCCTCATACAGAATTGGTCGAAATCCCCCAGCAATCTGAAATCCTCCTTTTCACACCATCTCTCTTTAGCCATGTGTTCATCCACTATATCTTGCTATTTCTACTGACTAGCACATGGCACTGGTAGTAATCCTGAGATCGATGCTCTTTTTCTTTATTGGGGGGGAATCCTAATTTTCAGCTTGCTTCATTAAGTCCCTACATTGTGTTTTTCAGGACCTCTTGATTGTTAACAATAAAAATGTTTTTTTTTAATAATGTATACCATAGCCACTGGCTTTTGTAGTACAAGTCTCTCCTAATTTCACTCTTGAGCAGTCTGGCTGTAATGTTTTAGACCATGGATAGCCCAATGATGGGGGCAGCCAAAAAAAAAATAGGTTTTCCCCTAAATATGTTAAGTTTTGATCAACCCTCCCTCCCCAAAACCACCACCTTCCTTCAAGGAAAATTTAAGCCTAGTTTGTGTCATCATTCCTCGGATTTTATTAATGGTTCCTCTGTTGTTCTAGTGTATGTGCATGCTATGCTCTGTCCAAGGCAAAATGTACTTTTCCTAGGATGAGGTAGCTAGAACTGGGCTCAGTATGCCAGGTGTCAACCAACCAGGTCTTTATATTGCTGAAACATAACTTGTATCCTCTCTCATGTTCTAGTCCCTTAGAATTAGAGTGACAGAATGCTGACCTCTGTTTTTAATGTATCTATTTGTGTCCTGATCATGTACCACCACCTCCACTTCACTGCTCTCGCTCTCGCTCTCTTCCTCCCCCTCCACAACAACACCACCATCATTTCTAACTTTTCACTTTTTTGGGTAGTACTTGTGCTCTAGTTGGAGGTCATACTACCTTAATTATAGACTCCAGTTCAGTGAATCCACCTTTTCTAAACTCCAGGAAACATAAGCCTTACTGCCATTTGATATTTCCCTTAAACAGCTTTTTCAGCTTTCCTCTTGTTAACCCTTGTTCCCAACAACACTTGTCGTCTACTGTTTCAGGATTGCTCTTGCATCTGAAAGGCCTGTTTACTTTCTTTTGTTTTCGTTTACTTTCTTTTGTTTTCTTTTACTTAGCTTTTACAAGGATGATAAAGATAGTTTACACCTTCTACTTTCTTGCTTGATCGATTTTTCTTGGAAAGAAGTACTGGGCCTCAATGTTTCAGGCAGGTACTCAGCCTGTAGTGTAGAGAAAATGTTTGTGGCCTATTGATTCTTTCAAGCAATTGTTGAGGTGGTAACTTTATTTTTCAAAGCAAAATCTGACATGGTGTAACTATACATTTGTCTCCTCGATTGTTACTAATATCACCATGAAAGCATAGTGTGTGGCTTCATTTCTATGGAAGTGCAGCTAAGATCCTTTATTTCATCCATCTTTTGGGAGAGCTACCTCATAAACCTCATTTTTGCCTGTTCTTTTTCTCCAATTTTAGTTGCCCTGCAACTATGTCTCAAGCTTCTAAATTAAACTATTTGTCTCAAATGCTATTAACTTATGTTATTTTTGGTTGTGATGTGTATGTTTAATTTTAGACTGTCTAGCTATTCCCCCCCCTCCCCCCCATGTGGCCTTGGCCTCCAATTCTCTTATGATTTAGCAGACAAGTTTAATTGATGTAGATGTTTGTCAGTGTTATCATTGACTTGACTTGTGGAACTTTTGGACAGAAAGTTGCAAAACCTGGATGTACATTGTTGCTGAGACGGTTGAACTCATTTGCATGACTCTAGGTTCTGGCCCAAAATGTCATTGGCTCCACTTCAAAGCGCTTAAGGGGATAACTTTTTTCTCATTACTGAGCCCATGCAAATGTCCTCCAAACTAGTTCAGTTTGATTCTTCATGGAAATTTGTTGATTGATTTTATGCAGCAATTGAGGTTTGACAAATTAACTTGTTTTCTAGCACTCTCCAGCCCCTGAATCATATGCTATGACTCCAAATAGCTATTCAAAATTCAAGATGCCAAAAGTAAATTTGGACAACTACGGAATGGATCTGAACAGTGATGATTCTACAGATGATGAGGGAGCACCACGTAAACCAATCCCTGCTTGGGCTGATGGTAAGTAACTGATTTTGATTTAAGAAAACATTTGTGTGCAATTAAATGCAAAGTTTATAGGCTTCAATTGACTGGTCAAGCTAATTGCAAGTTATTAATTACTTGTGATAGCTGATGCTTTGTACACTCCATTCTGGGACAGTGTGATAATGAACAATATTTTCTGCCAAGCACCTTGCCTCACCCCACATGCTATATTGCATGCCACAATTGGCATAAACTGGCAATGCTGACTTCAATGCCAAATTTGTAAGCTGAGATTACTTCAAACAAAGACTTCAGAGCCTTACAGTTAAGTGATTATAGGCATAACAGAAATTTCAGGTATCTCCTCGTTAGCAAAATGAAAGTCCAGGCCACCATGTTCAATTACCAACTCAAACTGCAATAGGTGTTAATGAAGAGGTTTCACTTTTTTTTTTTGAGGCTGTTAATTGAGGAAGTTTTGTTTAGTGAAGATAAGACTGTGACAAAGGTTTAAGATTATAAAGGGATCTTGATCAAATTGATCAATGGGCTTAAAAATGGCAGATGGAGTTCATTCTGGATAATACAATACACAATACCCTCTTATTGTCACGTGCCCCATTGTAGGAGTACAGTAAAAATCTTTTACAATATCTGCCTTATGACAACATCTTAAGTACAAATATGTAGGTACAATTCTTGGATACAGCAAAGGGACAAAAGTAGTTGCTTAATTATGTAGTTGAAAATAAGTTTAAAAGTAGGAATATATTTAAGGGCTTAACAACCTTAGTGTTCTAAGGTCCCCCAACACCCATCTCTGTCCAAGATTTGCTACCTGCATGCTGCTCCCCGTGGCCTGCTGTGGGGCTTATTCTCTGTGCTGCTCCGGGGCCCACTGCCTGTGGTGTTCTGGAGCTCAGGGCGTGCCTGCAGGCCCCCAAGTGTAAGGTTATGCTGCTTGGCTTCATTGCTGACTCCTTTGAGTATAGGAGTTGGGAAGTCATGCTGAGGTTGTACAGGACATTGGTGAGGCCTCGTCTGGAGTACTAGTCCAGTTCTGGTCATCTAGTTATAAGAAGGATATTATTAAGCTGGAGAGGGTTCAGAAGAGATTTATCAGGACGTTGCCGGGTATGAAATGTTCGAGTTATAAAGATAGGCTGAATAGACTAGGACATTTTTCTCTGGAGTGTGTAGGAGGTTGAGAGGCAACCTAATAGAAGTTTATAAAATAATGAAAGGTATAGTTAGAGTTAATAGTCACTTTTCCCTAGGATGGGGTATTTCAAGACTAGAGGGCACATTTTGTAAAGTGAGAGTAGAGAGATTTTAAAGATGTAATGCAAACCTTTTACACAGTGTGATTCATGTGTGGAATGAACTTCCTGAGGAAGTGGTAGGTGGGGGTACAATTACAATGTTGGATAAATACATGAATAGGAAAAGGTTGGAGGGCTATGGGCCAGGTGTTGGCAGGTGGAGTTAATTTAGTTTGGCTTGGACTGAAAGGTCTGTTTCTGTGCTGTGACTGATTCTATAATTACTGACTTAACAAGCTTGTGCAGTGATCCCCACAAATACAAGGTTTGATGTTTTGAAATTTTGGCATTTGAGGTAACCAATTTCTGCTAATGTATTGCAAATCATTCTAAATACTTGGATTTGTATTGGCTTACTAAATGCTGCTTTTTCTTACCCAGAACAAGCATAATTGTTTTTCTCCTTCCCCATTCCTTCAGGACTCCTTTCTTGGGTTTAAACCTATTTTTGAAATAAATAATTTTGTGGACCTCTTTCTGGCATTCTAATTGAAGACTTGTTGAGGGACCTGTCATTGCTTCCTTACAAACAGCTTCAAACTGATCTATCTGGCTGCTATTGTTGCCCACCATGCCATCTGGGGATTAACCTCCCCATGCATCTTCTAGATTCCACTCGCACCTTTCAAATCTGAAGTCAGTTTGTATTTTCAGTCTGAGGAGTTGACAAAATTTTTGTTTGTATATCATATCTTACTGTAATGGAATATGTCTTTCTGTCACCAGGTAAACAATTGCAGCAAGCCCTTATAAAGCAGTATTACCACCCATTTGATGTGGATAAATTCTTTGGTGTCATTCAACCTCCTGATCTTAGGAACATCTTCGGCAAGATCAAGCCACGCTACCTGAAACGGACCAGTTCTGCAGTGTGGCATTCGCCACCAGTATCAAACAGCATTAGGAATGTACCCTATGGCCTTCTGAAATACTGATTTGTGTCTCTATTTTAGAGTGGCGTTCTAACTATTGTAAAATGTGACCCTATCTTTCTGCTCTATTATTCACTTGACCAATTTGATATTGTAACTTTGCTATCTCTCTCTCCTTTCTTTGTGTTTGTATATACATATGAGATGAAGACTTCAAATGGAAAATTGGTCAACTGCTTCTCTGGAACCTTTTTACATGTGGGTTTGCTTTGAGATTTTTACCTTTATAATATTAGGGATATCTATTTGGGTCATTTTAATTTAGACTTCAGTTTTGGAGGTCTTTTACTTGGGCTAAGATTTAAATTCACTGCCTGATAGGATAAAAATTCTGTTTCTCTGTTGTAAGAGGCCTCTGTGTCACGAGTTTGAAAAGTTTCCTGTAACTGAAACAGGAAAGGGGAGAAATAGTCAAAATGTTCAACAGATGGTTTATTAGTTAGCAAGCTGAATAGTTGGTGTAGGAAATAAGATGGAGGGGCAGGAGATATGATCTTTGGTAAGATTGCCTTTGAACTTCGGTCTAGCCATGACTTTGGGAGCTTGACAATTTCTCTCTCTATATACCTGACCTGAGACCCAAGTGCCTAAAATGAGCTAAGTTCTGGTCCATATCTTGAACACAATGGAAATCCAGCACTTCCACTGCAGACATTTTGTATTTTATTTCTTGGATTACAGTAGGAATTCCTTCTTGCTTATAAGAGGCACTTAATCCTATTACTGTTCTTTGTTTTAATTTGGAAGCTTCTGATTACAAATTTCAATAGGTTGGAAAGCAATCAGAAATACAAAAGACAAAATGTCCAATTACTTGTCTGTGCTGAGCTAGCTAATCTCAACTAGGGTGACACTTGGTGTCCAAATTGGCTTCACTGCCCCTTGCTTAGAAATTTGAACTCTGACTGATTTTTCTTGGTGCAAAGGATTGTGCAGATGGGGAATTCGGAGGGCAAGAACAGGCTTGCTTGTGTTTTTCCTCCCTACAAACAACCTGGAAATAATTGCTGCTTGGATTCTGGTGCAGGACCATCATTTGGATAGGATTTAAAAACACCCATGGAGAATTGTACCCCAGAAAGTTGTCTTAAGAGAATATTAGCAACAAAATGTCAGTGTCAAACCTTAAACATTAATGCTGTCCTTGCTGTTGCCAGGAGCTTTGAATTTTGGGTTTGTTTTCTGTTGACTTCAAGTAGGATAAAAATCTGAACTGAATATCTCCTGTGCAATGATTCTGTCTGACAAGCATCATTAAATGATTTGATCTGTATGGCACTGTTTTTATTAAAAAAAAAAACTTGTAAAATGGGTCATGTTACCTGAAAATATGTACATTGGAGAAAAACTTTCTAAATGTTTAAGTGGTGCCTTGACCTTGTGCTTGAAGCTAGTCACAGTCTAAAATGCAATAATGAGCCTATGTTGTGAATCAAATGATTCTGAAACACTCAGCATCTGATGTTGCTGAGAATATTACTTAAATTGACACATGGAGTGTGTGTGTGTGTGTGTGTTTGTTTGTTTGTTTGTTTGTTTGTTTCTGGCTAGGATAGGACTGCTGCGACGGAACCACAAGATGACCTTCAATGTCCAGTGATGCATCACTCCTTGTATATGTTCCATTGTCTGAAAATGTTATGACTTTTTAATCTCTGGAATTAGTAATGTTTATTTACTATTTAACATAGGATAAGTAGAAATTCCATCCACTTCATATATTTGGGAAGACCTGAAGCCTTTGGCTTTTGGTTCCTGTCAATGAATTCAACCTACTCCATCTTGAAGCAGAACCACACAGTCGCAAGGTTACATGCAATACCAAAGTTGCAATGAGCTTGCACAGTATCTGTGCTGTCACTGAGGATCAGGCATGTAGCAATTTTCATCCAAAAGGACTATTTCAAAATGTTTTGTTTTTATATTCTGTTAATAACCTACATGCATGCTTTGTCTTTAGAACTCAACTTTCCTATTGTGTCTGAGTGAGTGTTTCTGTTGAGTGCTTTCTAGTATTTTGCGAATAAATGTTTAATCTTTAAAATTAAACTGACTAGACTGTGTGTGTGTGCGCGCACTCAAAGTCATAAAAGGTTTAAAACACTCCTCTAAATTAGATATCTTACTGTGAACTAGCAAGAGGCACGATAAACTGAAGTTTATTTTACTATCTCCCTGAATATAATCTCTCTCTGACGTGTGTGTGCGCGTGCACACACATGCTCTCTCAGACATTGTCTCATTGGATTAATACAAGCACTATGGTAGGGTTGGGTAGGGACTTATTTTGGTGACAACTTTTGAGAAACTGATATCTGAGGAATATGTGACAGATGCAATCTAAATTTTAATAATAAATCTGGAATATAAAAGCTGGTTTTAATAATAACTATGAAATTACTTAATTGGTAATGTTTGGGGTTTTTTTTAAAAAAAGACACTAATTTGTGATTTCAAACCCACAACAACGTGGTTGATTCTGAACATAGTTCTGAAATGGCTAAGCAAGTCACGCAGTTAGGAGGGCAACTGGGATTGGGCAACATTTTCATTTCTAGCACCTTACCACTGATGGCCACATTGGAGGAAAAAAATGTAGATATGATGCAAAGAAAGACAACATTATAATACAAGCAGGCGTACAACCCTTAGAACTTTTTGAGATCACCCATTCAGAACTTTTTTTTTCCACCCCCTTTTAACAAAAATCTAACAGCATCTGCCTTACTGATCAAGAATTCTGATTTTATGTTTTCAGGGACAGAATTTCATGTCAAGACCCCTCAATCTTGTAATTTAATCAGGCTATCTTTTGTTCTTCTCCATTCCAGCAGTCACAAAACTAGCCTTCTGACCTGTTCCTCAGGACAACCCATTTATTCTATGTATTAATCCAGTAAGAGTTCTCCGAACTGTTTCCTACGCACTTGCATCTTGATCTGTGTATCCTGAATTCCCAGTCTGTAAGCACGTCCACTTTTCATGCAAGCTGACTATTGACCTTTCTTCAAGCTGCCACCAATAGGGAAAACGAACCTTAAAGTAGTGAGCACTTAAAGGCTCACGAGCAGTTAAGGGGGAAGAGTCCAAATTGCAATACACGAAAACAGGCTGATTACCAGATACCCAAGGAAGGGAAGGAACTAAGACTTTTTGTTTTCACCCAAAAAGTAAATTGAGGAGCAAAGTTAAGACTTCTGACAATTAGTTAATATATTTCTGAAATATTTCTTCTACAACAGTTTTTAAAAACAGTAAGTTAAGATTATTCTTCAGGTATAAACTTAAAAATAAACAAAAAAAAATTCAAATTGTTTATTAGGGCTGTGAAAATTCAAGCAGCATAACTAAATTATTGAAGTTTTTTTCTTACTTATTGGTATGGATGATGGTAAGTACTGTGTGTCTTTTTATTTTGTTTCAAAAAAAAAAACTAGGAACTGAAATGATGAAGATGATTTAAAAAGCAGTATTTCAAAGGGTAGTTGTAGCTTTGAAAAGACACCCATTGCAGGCATCGTGTAAACAATTGTTTGAACAAGCAGTAATTGTAGGCCATTTAGAAGCCAAGGCTATACTGTCGTAGCTTTTGCTGGCACCAAAAAATTGACTGGTTGGTGGACTAGTGACCAGTTATCAGTGGTCGGATATTTTGGCCTGACTGCTAGGTTCTTAGGAAATTGAATTGCTTGGAGCTGGGAACAAGTTACAGAGCAGGCTCCCTGTTCTCTGCAGTCAAAACTCATGCTAAACATTGAAGAAAACAAATTAATCTTACACCTGTTGCAGGAAAGCTGTTATGTTTAACTGATAAACTGGTTTTTTAAAATTTTTTTAAATAAGGGGATGAGTCACATTGTGTATCTCACCAATTGCTGGAAGCATTTGGAGAATACCTCAAATCATCCATGTGCTACTTATCCCTTAATACCTAGGAACCAAAACTCCTGAATTATCCTTCCACTTCTCTGCATCTGTCTGTAACTTATTTATATAACTGTTTACCTGTAGCTACCATAAATTCCTGTTCATAAATAGTGATTCTGGTTCAGTACAGAAACATGGTCCATGTTTCTACTACTCTGGTCTTAAAGTCTTAAACTGGAGAACTTGGTAAAGATTTTTAAAAATCTTTACCTTTTGTGACAAAAACAGGAATAGTGATGTTCAATTTCCAACATGCTACTTCAATGAGTTGTAATATGAGAGACTGAAGTTTTATCTAATAACTAGAAAGTTTTATCACTATTAATGGAAAAATATAGTACTATCCTTGAGTACTATAGTACTATCAAAGCAAATCTTGAGTGTTGCCCTTTTGAGTTTCTTTGCAGATTTTTGGAAATCCTTCAGCTATCTTGGGGAAAATTGAGCAGCATTTAAAACTGCTGAAACTTCAATAGCTTTAACTTTCAGTATTACCAATCATCTTTATAACAACTATTAAACAATAACTAATCAAAAAGTGCAACTAAATGTAGTACAAGGGAACAAAATGCTAAAGAATCTGCTGCCCAATCAAGAAAAACCCAACAACTGACTGCCCCTCGACAATCACACACTACAACAAAATTTCACCAGTATTTATCATTTCACTAGAAAATTCTAAGCACTCGTCCATTTGATAAAACTGTAAAGTTGCAGATGTTGAAAGAACAATTTTGAACAGTGGATGCTGATTCAGTTACAGAATAAGTTAGCATATTACAGATTGTATGCTACACCCAGAACAGATTGATGAGAAATGAACTATGTTTCACAACCTCCTAACAAGTTCGATCAATGTGTCACTTCAAGAACAAATAGGACACTGGCATGATCACATTTGAATAGCAGATATCAGCTCCCAGCAGAGTCTGTATAATCAAGAATCGATCGCTAGTTCTGGACAAACAACATCACTCCTTTCTCTGAGATTTATTGTATCGTCTGATCCAGATGTTAATGTGAGAGAAGCATAAGAGATCAAAAATCGCTGTTCTTTCCTGCAGTTATATCAAATTCAATTCAGCCAGACTGACTGAATGTCTAATGTAAATATTACCAGCAGAGAATAAGCAAAATCACTAACTTAATCTCGTGTTTTTATGCCTTGGCATAGATTTTCATGAACCACTTGCCAAGAGAAAAGTAATAAATATTCATAAAATTTAAGAATAAGTAATTTACATAGTCATTTGAGTTAATCAGTGTTTACAGCAGGGGAAAAAAGGTTGCAGATGTTTTGCGCAAGGGAGTCTGGACCTTGATACAATATCACAACACGTGACGGAGCTAGAATGGTTTTGAAGGGTTTAACTGGAAGTCACACATCATAGGCTTGAACACACGAAGAAGACTGGTTCATCATTACCTAATTACAGGCAGAAATCTTATATATCCACAATTATTGTGTATTGTTGTACAGGAGGTTCTTGTTATTCTTACTAGATACATTTTATAAAATCTGACCGTTAGTGAAAGAACAAAAAAAATTATTTCCCAAAAGAAGAATTAATCAATTTTCGGCAACAGGGTGAAATAATGACTTAAGTACAAAACAGCTGAACAAGAACGGAGAGTATATGGAAAACAATATCAGGGGAACGAATAACCAGACCCTTCTATTTAATATTAAATATAATAGTGTTCCTTTGAAGTCTAAACATAAACACAGCCTTGACTTTCCCATCTCCTCAATTTGTCTTTAAAGAACACAAACGTACAACGCGGCATCGTACCACAAAAGAAGAAGCGGAATCCGAGTTACAGCACTCGCACCTGTTAAAGACGCTCCCCCCCTCCCCGCGCCCACCACATAACAGAGATTGCCCAGTATCATTGAGGCGGTGGACGACATTCACATAGATAGGTTCCAATACCCGTGCTTCGCCGCCATTGGCTTGTTCTGCAACTGCCACTGAATTTAAAAGTTTAAACAAGCGCGTAGCCCGCTGCTGGTAGATGGTATTCGGTTTGTCTGGGATCTTCCGGTAAGTACCTAGTACTGGGGCGAGGGCTGTTTGAGGACGGTCGCCTCTTGCAAGTGAGGGGTGTCAGCTCTAGCTGTTGATGTACTCACTTTCAGTAGAGTGGATTCAGCAGCTCCCAAGAGCTGGCCATGCTGGGAGAAATACTGCCATCTATGAGCAATGGTTTAATTAATTGTGTTAATTATAAATTTACTGCAATTATTATTAACCAGTCCTTTATTTTCTTCTATGTACCTGCCACATTGCTTTTATTGTCCTTCTCCCTTGCCCTACGTTTGAAAACTGCTAACACAAACAGTAATCCAACAAGTGCCATGGATGGAATTTGCAAATACCATTGATTAATAATCTGTAAATAATATTTTATAGACTGGGGTAGGTAGGAGATGTATAACTAACAATTCTTGACAAAGAAGCTAGTTCAACCTGGAACATTTGTACCTGTAATTGGTAATGTTTATAAGACTTGATTTGCAGTGAATCTGCACCCTCCTACTTCGTTTGCCAGAGCATTTGTGGCAGATAGAGATGGGTGACTGAACGCAACTTTTACGTGTGAATTGATTTATAGAGGAGGTTTTGCATCGCTGCCTCTCTTGCATGTCCTTACTGAATAATTAGATAAGTTTAGAAAGATAGAGGTAAATGCAGAAGGAGTAAGTAACAAGGATTGCTGTACATTTGTCTCCCCTCTGTAGAGGAGATGGAAGTGTAGACTGGATGACTGCTTTACTGAGCACCTACCTCTGTCTATTAAAGTAATCCTGATCTTCCAGCTGCCTGCCACTAACACACCACCATATTCCAATGCCAGCATTTCTGTCTCAAGCCTGCAGCAGTGCTCTAGTGAGCTTCAATACAACCCCTCATTTCTCTAGGTGCCTTAGACTTCAGGACTCAAAATTGAGTTTAACCATTTCAGAATTTTTGTTGTCCATGTTTGTTCTCCCCCATACCCCTAAGGTCCTGTTTTGTATGGGCACAACTAAATGATTTTTCAATCATTTAAACTGTCATTAGCACCCTACCCAGCATTGTTTTATCTCTATCTATGTCTCTGTTTACCATCATCATTAATGCCTTTGTCTATATCTCTTTCTCTCTTTTCTGAAGTATGGTCACTGAATTCAAAACATTAACTTTGTTTTTCTCTCCACAGATGCTGCCAGACTTGCTGGATTTCTCCAGCACTTTGTTTTTGTTTCAGGTTTCCAGCATCTGTAATTCTTTGTTTTTATTTTATAAGGATAACTGTGTGTCTTGCTAAGCTCTACATGTTTGATAATTAAAGCTGCTTGCATTTAATTACTCTGACAACATACTAACTGTGTGCTTTTTTTTGCCATTTAAGAGCACCATGGCTCCAAAAACAGCCATCACATTAGTGGACACTGATAACATGTTGAAGTTTTTTGATGAGAAACTGAATGCTCTTATTGAAGATTTTAAAGCAAATGAAATATGGCTAAAAGAAATCCAGGAGGAAGCCAAGAAGATGTTTATCTGGTGAGAATACTGCTAAAACTTTAAATGATACTATGCTGAGGAGGAGATACATTGGCTGAGATAATCCAAATTTTGTTTAAACAACTTGGTAAAAACATGTTGCATGAAGATCAAAAAATTAAAGGAATGCAATTTCATAGCACCAGTCCACAGGATTTGATGAGGTGTCCCTTTACTACAGGGAGGTCCTTTCTGATTTCGGCTTTTATTTTCATATCCTTTCAATTCTTTACTACAGATGGAAGGCGGTTGGCATACTAATTTTATGGTCTTTTATTCGCTGGTTAGAGACACCAAAATAGAGCAAGTGGTGAGAGAGAATAGCTAGCTCTTCCTCTGTCTGCTGTAAAGAAACTAAGAATCAAAGAATGTGGCTTTTTACAGTCTGCCCCTTGTAAATATTGTATTAACATCCTTTTCTGTTTTTATTTTATTATTACAAACTGAAAAGGGAAGAGAACTGTTTTAAAGCTAAGGACTGGAAGGAATTGCTGAATATTTGAAGTAACTTGCTGACACTCATTGTAAGTAGTGTTTACACTGCAGTTTTGTTGGAGCAGTTGGGGAGGCTGTCAATTGGCTGGCACCAGAGTGTGTGTACAAAGTGAGATTTGGCCAGTCACAAGTTACTGATTTGTGATCCGATGTGAATGACAACCTAAACCAAAGGCTGTCAGTCTGAGTTATCTGATTTGGCAGCAGGGTAGCTGAACAGCATGAGTGTGCATATACTAGAAGAAGCCTTTGGCAAAATTCAGGTGGTGGCTTGCTCGCTCGCACACTCGCTCTCTCCCTTGCTGCTTGTGGTAAGGTGTGGCCTTTAGCTGCATTGTCTTTTAGTTATTGGTTAATGTACAAGGAATTTGGTGAAAAGAGATTTGAAAAACAAAATCCTTGCAAGCAAAATAGTCATCTTAGTGAATGCCATAGACTGGGGCCAATGAGCTGCTTCCCAGTTTTTCTTTCCTCCACCTTTTTAGCACTAGTGTTTTGTCTGTTTAAGTATGTGTGGTGAGGGGCTTGGTAGGAAGAGGATTAGGGTTTTTGACTGGTAGGCTTTATATTAACAGTTCATAGATTCCAACCACAGGAAAACCACTTTTTTTTAAAATTTGTAATAACTAGTTCTTGTTAAGTACAGGAAACTAGCACATGTCCTGTTAACCTAAATCTACCTGACAGATAAATTGGGGGATTGATGAAAACTTATAAATTTTTTGTCATGAATCTGGGAATAGTTAGTCTTCATTTCTAGTGCACACTGACTATCCAGCTGCCCAGTAGATGCTGTCCAACTACCCGGTAGTTGTTGTCAAGCTAATGATTCTTGGTCCACACAGCCAGACCCGTTGACTTCTGACTTTGAACAAGGCAAGAGTGTAAACAACTCGTAATAAGGTCACATAACATTTTGTTAAAAAACAAAACTTGCAGCATCTCCTTCAACTGCCCTTGGTTTAGTAGTATCCTTTTCCCATCTTGGTCCACAATCAAAATACGTGTTGAATTGAAGTTATATATAACTCCAAATGATCTGGCTCAGTGGGTCAATGTTGATGTTTTTTGTTCCACTCCACCACTTCCATCCTTCAATATCTAACTCCTATGTACCAAACCCTCTGTTTATCCAGCCTGTCCTTGAATGCATCAATACTATTTGTCACAATTGCTCTGTGGTTGAGTTTCATATTCTTGTAACTCTGGGTTAATTTGAGTGAGAGTAAAACTGAAATGACGGGGTGCCACAGACCAACAAATCAAAGTGGTATAAAAGAGTAGATTGCTGAAGGGAAGAAAATAAACCTAGGTGTGACTTCGCTGTATAGTGCATAGATTGGTTGTTTAGACTCCAGATGTGGAGTGAGTAGCGGAAGCAGCTGTGAATGTCAATACCAAGGAGTACTTTTTTTTTAAAATAAAAGCTTCAAGTACAAATACAAGTCAGCACAACACAGATTGTTGACTAGACTTATTTGTACATCTCTAAAACCATAAACATTAGAACACAGAAGGAGGCTACTTAGCCTATCATACCAGTGTGACTCTGAGTAAGCATTTCACTTGATGGCATTTTCCCGCTTTCTCCCCATAATCTTTTTATAATTCATTTTTCAAACAGCAGGCAACTTCTTTGACCCACCACTTAATTAGGCTGTTCCTTCCACTGGGCTAATTGATGGGGCTGCAGCCATGATTAATACCCTAGGTCCTGATGAACTTCATCCTATGGCCTTAAAAGATGTGGCTACCCAGAAGGAAAGAAACTTTAAAGCGTGCAAGTGACACATAACTGAACTGACTCCTCTAGTAAACCTCAAAAACCAGCTCCAGCAATGTTCCCTCCAAGGTTCTATGCATGGTCGTCAGCATGCCCATTCAAGCATTGCCCTATAGCTCTGTATAATGAGGAAGTAGATATAATTGATGTAAATTTTCCAAATTTTTGCTAGATTATGCAAAGGTTCCATCAAACTGAAATGTAACAAGAAGGGTCTAGGCCCGAAACGTCAGCCTTTCTGCTCCTATGATGCTGCTTGGCCTGCTGTGTTCATCCAGCCCTGCACCTTGTTGTCTATACCTTGATGTCTTATGGGGAAGGTGTTAGAATTGAGGTCATAGCTGAGTAATTTTTATGTTAGCATGGTTTCATTAAAGAAAAGTGGTGTTTAACCAACTTATTTGAGTTAGAGTCAATACAGTGTGGAGCTGGAGGAACACCGGTCAGGCAGCATCAGAGGAGCAGGAAAAGTGACATTTCAGGTTGAAGGATATAAACCTGAAATGTCAACTTTCCTGCTCCTCTACTGCCTGACTTGCTGTGTTCCTCCAGCTCCACGCTGTATTGACTCTAACTCCAGCATCTGCAGTTCTTGCTATCTCATATTTGAGTTTGAATAATGTGTACTGTGAATAAATAGGATTTTCAGAGAATGTCCGAAAAGATATTGCATTAAAGGTTATTGCGTAAAGTAGGAGTTCATAGTATAGTGGGTAACATTAGCGTGGATTGGCTTGCAGAGAAGAGTCTCCATAAATTGATCTCTTTCCGATCAGAAGGATTCGATGAAAGGGGTCTACTGTGGAATTTTTTTATAATTTATGAATATGACTTGGATGAGGGGTGCAAAAGTATGGTAAACTTGCAATGACATTTTCCTAACTTTGTACTGTATGATGCCAGGTGGCATCTAATGTGGGGGAAAATCTAAAGTTCTTCCTTTTTGTCAGAAGAGTGGAAAAATAGTGTAAATTGGAGAACAACTGAAGAGTTTCAAAGTGCGGAGAGATGTAGGTTTTTGAGCATGAGTCAAAGTCAGTAAGCAAGTCAACTTTGTGCATGGGATGCTGTCCTGTGAGAGGAATTGAGTGTAAAACTAATATGATTATTCTTCAGGGCATTGCTGAGAACACAGTTCAAATACTTTGTGCAGTTTTGATCTCCTTGGAAGGATGTAAATGGAGGTGGCTCAGAGGAGGTTTGAGCTTGGTGGGTTTACTTCAGTAAAGAATGAACAGGCTGTTTACTCCCACTGGAGTTCAAGAGCGAGGGATGACTTGATGTATACAAGATCCTGAATGGTCTTGACACTGCACTTGGAAAAGATGTTCCTCTTGTGGAAAATCTGGAACTTGAGGACACTATGTATAAAAATAGTTAGGAGTTGTTCTTTTAGGTTTGAGATAAAAATTCTTTTTGAGGGTTGTGGGACTTTGGAAGGCAGTGGAGTTATCGCCACTGAGTTGGAGGTGAAGGTAGATTTTTTGGCAAGGTAATCAAAGTTTATTGAGGGTGGATGGGAAATATAGAATTCCAATCACAGACCATCCATGATTTTATTGAATGGTAGAGCAGGCTCAAGGGATTGAATGGTCTACTTCTGTCCCTGATCCATGTTTGTACACTAGCCATTTGCTGCATGAAAAGGTTTTCTTTTTGCCTATCACCTATTAATTTAGTCTGTACCTCCTTGTTCTTGATCCTTTCACAAATGGTGACAAGGTTTTTTCCCTATTTACTCTGTAGACCTCATGATTTTGAACATCTCTATTCAATCTCCCCTTGGGCCCTCCAAGGAAAACAATCCTAACTTCTCCAATCTATCTCCATGCAGAGTTCCTCATCCCTAGAACCATTCACATGAATAAATTTTAGTTTAGTTTTGTTAAACATTTATTCTAGTAACTAGAGGCATGGCAGAAGTCCTAAATGCCATGGTGTGCATGATGCCTCAAGGTTTCTGCTGTCCTGTTAGAAGAATCTGGATGCCCTGGTATATGAATCTCAAGTCAGCATGCCGTTACAGCAAATTATTAGGAAGGCACATGGAGATTTATTGCAGGGGTTGGAATATAAATGGTGGGGAAATCTTAATACAACACATGAGGAGGGATTGTCTAATAAACAAAGGTTAAACAAGTTGGGATTCGTTTGAAATTTAGAATGAGAGGTGATCTCATTGAAGCACATAGGATTCTTTTATAGTTCAGCAGGTCTGGTAGCATCTGTGAAGGAAAAAAAAGAGTTAACGTTTCGGGTCCAGCGACTCTTCCTCAGAACTGAGGAAGCTCTGAGGGAGGATCACTGGACCCGAAACCTTAATTCTGTTTTTTCCTTCACAGATGCTACCAGACCTGCTGAGCTTTTCCAGCAAACTTGTTTTTGTTCCTGATTTACTGTGTCCGCAGTTCTTTCGGATTTTATTTAGGATTCTTAGAGGCTTGATAAGGTAAATGCTGAGAGATAAATTCCCCTTGTGAGAGACCCTAGGACTAGAAGGCATAGTGTCAGAAATAAGGGGCAGGATGTACAATTTAGAACTGATCTGAGGAGGAATTTCTTGATGGTTGCGTCTTTTGAACTCCTTGCACAGACAGGTGTGGATGGAGTGTCCTTGTTTATATTTAAGTCTGAGACATATCCTTGGATCAGTGGGCTAATCAAAAGTCATGGGAAAAGGTAAGGAAGCAAATAAGAGTAATGTCAGATCAATCATGATCCTGTGGAGTGGGATCAAGGGGCCAAATTGCCTACTCCTGTTCCTATTTCTGATCCTGCGGCAACTACAATGGAGTTGATGAGATCCCACCAACATTGCTGTGTACATCTCAGTATTTAAAAACACTACATTTGGAGGCAGCTCACAGTAGGTTCACTAGGTGATTTTTCTGGCATGAGGATCGAGAGGTGAAATTAGTGTAGGTTAAGCTATATTCACTGGAGTTGTGATACTGTGATATTAGTTTGGAACTTTATAAAGATGTTGGTTAGACCTTGACTAGAGTATTGAGTGTAGCTGTGGAATCCACGCTATAGGAGAGAAGTGATTTCTTGGAAAGGGTTCAGAGATTTACCAGTATGTTGCCCAGGCTGGAGAGTTTTTGAAGAGTGATTTGGATGGACTGGGGTTCTTTTCCTTGAAATAGAAGACTGAATGAGCCTAGGATTTGACATGCATAAAATTAAAGGGTGTAGGCAAGAAGAAATGTTTTCCTTGCTGAAGGAATCAATGACCAGGTGGCATAGAATTAAGGACAATGGGAGAAGTTTTAGAGGGGATGAGAATTTTTGTCCCCCACCTGGAGTGTAGTGAGAATCTGGAGCTCGCTACCTGTAAGAGTAGTAGAGGCAGAAACCTTCAACATTTTAAGTCGTCCACTTCTTCAATGATTTAAAATAGTCACCACTCAGTTCTTAGAATCAAAATTCCCAGTGTGGAAGCAGACCATTTGGCCCATCGAGTCCACATCAACCCTCTGAAGAGCATCCCAATCCCCGCCCTATCCCTGTAACCCTGACTTTTCTATGGCTAATCCACCTAACCTGCACATCCTTGGACTGTGGGAGGAAACCAGAGCACCTGGATGAAACCCACGCAGATATGGGGAGAATGTTTGTTTGTGTGGAGTTTGCACAGTCACCCAAGGGTGGAATTGCACCTGAATCCCTGGTGCTGTGAGGCAGCAGTGCTAACCACTGAGCCACCATGCCACCCTAGGTTTTGATTATGTATCTTACTACAAAAAAAATGTAATGCAGAATGCCCAAAATGCTACTGAATCGAATAGAAAGGTCATGAGAATGCGACTCAAATCATTAAGCCTTCCTTCATGCACCCACCGTCCCCTGTAACGAGAAGGCAGAAATCAGATAGGCTCTGCAAAGTAACATTTACCAATTATACACCTTGATTTTAAACCTATGTAGGCAGCTATATTATTTTATTCAGCCATGCTTAAGCAGTGACACCCACTGAAGACTCAATGCATCAAGACATAGGAGAGTCGAGTGACAATCTGAGGAAATACAGGACCAACACTATCAAAATCTCTCCAATTTTCTTGCATGTAGTTGTGGATTTTCCAATGTGAAGCTACAGCTCTCAGTTACCATGCATTTATTTAGATCTACACTTGTGATGCCAAGACATATAAGGTTACAGGCTAAGTGCTGGAAAATGGGATAAGAATAATTAGGTGGTTATTTTTGACTGGTACAGACTCCATGGGTGAAAAGGCCTTTGTCTGTGCTGTCTCTGTCCCCAGTTACAAGAGAACCTTGGCAGGGAACGGGTCACCAACAAGTGTTTGGGAGGGAGTTGTGAATGTCTTGTAGCAATATCCCGTTCCTAATGTAAAAGCTGGGTACAGATGTCTTGAATGAGCCTTCCTGCATGCTGCTCAGTTTGTTGTGTGGGAAGGTGATTCCAGCATGGAGAATCTCCAATCTGTCAGTGGTATAAAGCACTCATGTAGCCACATCAGAACCTCTGCTAACCTCTGGGTGGGAAGACCACATTCTGTGCCTCCTGTTCTAAGCTTTGGTTTGCATTGTTTTCTTCTTCTTCTCCTCCATGGATATGATCACTTAAGATACACCAAGCATTTAGCCTCCATTTCTTTATCGCCAACAGTCAGCATTTAGCTATAATTCATGGGCATGAATTCTGGTTTTATTTCAACACCGCTAAGTACATCTGCTGTTACTTTTGGCAATATAAAAGCGATTTTGTGCTATTCGACCACCTGTGGTGAACAAAAACACAATCTAATTCCATTATTGTCAGATTTTAAGTTAGAAAGCAATCCTGATCAGCTTTACCAAATAACTCTAGAACCTGCACGATGATTCCAAATCCCCTCTCCACCTGCTTGCTCAAGTTGAGGCGAATGTTGTGTAACCTCTACCCTGTTTAACACAAGTGAAAACTCCAGTCTCAGATATAGTTCATCAGATTGCTTGGTCTTAATGTCTGATCTCACCACCTCGGTCAATCTCAGCATTATCTTGGGCCTATTGTGTTCTGCTCACTTTCATTTTTTCAAAGAAAAGTGACCAAAACACCCACACCATCTCCCAAGGCCCACCCTTTCCTCACTTTCTGGCTATAATGTCCTGACTGCCTGACGCAGTCTCAATTGTCCAATCTTCATTTCCTTTTGCTCTGCCATTGTCTAATCTAAAAATGTTCATAGATACTAAAAAAGTACTAATGAATTGTGAAAGTAGATGAAAGTCCAAAACATAGATTAAATGAACAAGTGGAGAAAAGGCTGGCATATTTGATGTGAGGTAGTAAGAGGAACAATGGGAGTTGCAGTCTAACTGGCAGGGGAAGAGAAAAAGTGATGGGAATTTGTGGGTCTTGGGTATAGAGGTTATTTAATAAAGCAATATTAAAGTCTACATTGATTTGTATTTATTCCAAAGTACTATAGTAGATAAGAGTTTTTAATGGATAAACTACTTTGATTTGAATCAATGATTTTGGCCAGTGTAATGGCTAGATTGAATTAGAGTCAGGATATGACTAAACTTTTTTTTATTAAAATTTTGAGAAATGATGTGGTTGAAATCTTTTAAATTGAAATGTAGACTTCAAATATGGGGATGTAATAAAATTCAAACCATGTGGCATAAATGTCAAGAGACTTCTTTTCACATGGAATGTGAAAAGGTTAGAATGTCTTAGATTACTTCAACAACTTTGCATCTTTCAAAGAATCCCATTTAAACAGGGTTGCTATTTCAAATTACCAAGACCAAGCAAAATAGCAGAGTTAGATTCTGTGGATGTATGAGATTCCATCGTACTATTTCAAAGGCATATTCACTAGTATTTATAATGCAGCTGACATCTACATAAATCATACAGTAATTACCACATTTCTGTTTTAGGTTTTTGCTGTGTGCAGATCGGTTCACGTTTTCTACAGCAGTTGCTATACTGAAATGGTACTTGATTGTTTGCTTGTGAAGTGATTTAAAATGTCCTGAAGTTGAAAGGGATTATACAAAATGCAAGTCTTTTTAATGAATTAAAAAGTTCGTATTTGATTCCTGAACTGTTAGAGGGTGGCGAAGCTACAGTTGACAAATTTTTGCAACTTGGCTTGGGAAGGAAAGAAATAGACTTTGGAAAAGAAAATAGGTTACGATTCCTGTTTGCAGTAGCTTAACCTGTTCTAGAAATTGATTTGAGAGAATAATATTAAATATAATTAGTGTGTCCTCCTATAGCTATTTCTACAAGCCAAATAAGCTATCCCCACTTTTTACAAAAATCAAGTGCTGTTTGATATTAGAAATCTGAAATAAGTACACAAAATGCTAGATGTGTTTAGCAGATCTAGCAGCATCTGAATCTGAGGGGGAGGAGAGTCAAAACTTCTCTTGCCTCTGCACAGATGCTGTCAGACTCGCTGAGCATTACTAGCATTTTATGCTTTTATACCACCACATGCTGTCTAAGACGCACTCTAGAAGAGATCATGTCAAGTAAGATATCAGCAGGAATGAAACTGTACCCCTACAACAGTTGTTGCTTTGGATGAAGGAGTTCATAATGGGGGGGGAAAAAGGGTACGCAGAGTAGTGATTTTGAACCAAGTTTTTTTTTTATACTTGCATGAACCAAGAAATTCACTTTACTTGGTACAAAGTAAAAACTATCTGAAGTGATTTAACTTCACCACTTCCATTATTTAGATGTCCAATTTCAAACAAGACTTAGTTTTCATTTCTTCAATCAATTAAAACTTCCGTTGTTAAGCGGTCTATTTCAAACACAAATGGTTGTTTATTCACTTTTCTAATATTTGAGGCAGTAAACTGCAGTGAATTTGATCAGTTTATTCATGTTAAGTTTCTCACTTCTGACTAACACTCAACTGACTCAAACATTCACTTCTCACTTGAGATGTAATTTGTTTTGCTTTCTGTACCAATTCTTCCTCTGCAACCTTGATGTTTTCTCAAACTTGTAATTGAGAAAAGATCGGTTGCCAGATAGCATGAGAGCATTGTTAGATCTGTGCTTTTGAAGCAAGTTTATGGTGAACACTTGGATATTCCTTCTTGTGCTCGTAGCTATTCTCCAGCCTCTGGCATTGTGATGGTCAAGGCATTTCCCCCTAACCTGTCCAGCAATGTTTATTTCAAGAAAAATTGGTTCGGTACTAATGTTCTTACACTAAGTCACAAGACCAATGATCCCTTCAACCTGTTCACTAATTTGATAAAGGGGCATTGTAGAGAAGAATTAATGTATCTTATCAATTCCAAAAGAAATATTAATTTATGTTTTTCAGTGACTTTAATGCAGAGCCAGAATTGATGCCAAAAACACCTTCAGAAAGAAAACGGCTTAGGAGGCGTTCATCTGTAATCTGGGATTCAAATAAGAGGTAAGGGTATTGATGCTATTTAGTGAACACTTGCATTAGCATCAAACCCACCTAAATTGTTTTCATTGTGATTTAAAAGCCATAATCCCCTATAGATATGAATTGCGATCTTTTTTTTTAAACTATAAGGTTTTCTTTTCTCGACTAATGTTACACTGAAAGGTCATCTAGGAAACATTAGTGGTTTGGTATGACTAATTTTGCCAACCCAAAATGACAGCATGAAAGTGTGAACTTTATAGAATAAACTTATCCAACTGTGGAGCAACTCAGATCTGAATGAATTGTTCTGATTTTCTTGGGCAGGATAAATGGTGTGTCCTGTTTAACCAGGATGGTTGGAGATGTGCAAAACCTTCCTCTTTGCTTTCCCAACAGGATAAAAATGCACAAAACCCGATCCTGCAATTAATTTTTTAAACAATGGTGATGAGGGTGAAAGGTAAAGGATGAGGTTCGTTATGCTCTGTAGTTTCCTTTTTAAGCTATTTGAGACTTGGAAGAATTATGAGCTAATATAGTTCAGCTAATTGCTTCTCTTTGCAAAAACTAATGGAAAATCATTTCCACTTGTTGACTTGCTTGGTAAAAGCAATGTGTAACTTAATCATGCAGTTTGAAGGTATGAATTAATTACTGGTCTCTGGTTGGTTAGCTGGTATTACATATGTTGTTAGCGAGTTTAAATGCCTCAGAATGCATTGGGAGAGCATTAAATATCTCCATTAGATAATCCTCAAAATAGTGAAGTGCTTCTTGGGAGACAAACTCTCTGCTTTCATCATTGTGTTTCTGTTTCTTAATCTTGTTCCCACAAAACACTTAGATTCAACGTCTTTGGTTGTTGTAGTCTCATGAAGGCAACTACAAGCTTCTATGCTGCTAGTGCAGTGCTTCTTGAAGCCTTGTTTACAGGAGTCTTCTAGATGTTCGGTGGGCTCTTCCATAATGCAAATACATATATAACACCATGGTTGAAGCAATTGAAATTCAAGTGCGTGGGCCAGAATCCTCAAATCCATCATGTACCTATGTGTCTCAAAAGGTCAACTCTTGCCTGCATGGCAGGGGCTCTCAAGTGTGAGATAGCGAATGTGTTCTTTAAGCAACATTTATGTTGCTGTTAATTTTGTCTAGATATAAACGAGAAATGTTTCTCTGTGATTTTATAGCAATATAATGTTTGTATTAATGTTTATAAAATACATATTTGTTGCTAGCATGAATTGATTTCTTAAAAATGAATGCAATTAAATTTTTTTTTAAGGGGAAAAAGTGATTTTATTCTCCATTTGTGATTCTCAAATCCAACTGCAAATTTACTTAAGCATATTTCAGTGTTTTTTGTTTTTAAAATTTCCAGGTTTTCTAGAAGCCGAAAAAGTTTAAGGCGTTCTTCAGTTCGGTGGCCAAAACTCATAAACGGGATCTTCATGGAAGATAATGGTGACTGTATTAGCAGAACTGAGCAGGCCTGTCCCGTTCGTCTAACACGATCAGCATCACGTGCAGCAGCAACATTGGCAAGTCTAGAAAATGACAAACACAATCTTGTCCTAGTTAATGGTAGAGTTCCACTGGTTGAATTGTCGCTGAATGGCAGCAAGACTGCAGAATTCCAGAAGAGTCATATAGCCAATTTAGCTCAATCTCTTCTGAGTTCTGAAGATGTGAACTTGCTTCAAAAAGCGGTTGAAACAAAAAAACCTCTGAGTGAAACTATTTTGGAAACTGCAGTGAACCTCAGCAGTCCAAATCACGAAGCAATGAGGCTGAAAATAAATGTTGTTGCCACTAAAGAAAATGCGGTTACTGGAGAGATCCGTTCAACTAACTGGGAGTTAGGCAATACGCCACTGGCAAATGGGGGTTCCGTCTCTGGGAAAGACGAAAGTAAGCTTGTTCACAACCATAATCGCAGATGGGTACGGAAAAGCATGAGCAGTCGCCGATCCAGCTGCTTCAGATTGATGGATAAATATTCATTGAATGTTCAACGGGCTACCATGGTGCAGGAATCCAGAAAATCTTTGCGTAAATCAATTGCCTGGAGAAAAAATACGCCGGAGTCCTCTGCTTCCAGTTGTAAGTTTATTTTTAAGTAAGGAAAATTCACAGCTATGTTGTATTCTGATTTGTTCTCCTTGTACTTTCCTTTTCGACCACCTTTTTTGACCAAAACCAGTACTAAAAGAATCCATTCAATCGTTGAAGGATTATGCTGCAGGAGGAGCCCTACTGACTCTCCAGTTGAGCTCTGTGACTTTGCACGATGCTCCTGCCTTTTCCCATAACCTTGCACATTTGTTTTTATTTAAACAATCTAATGCCTTGATAGAACCTGCCTCCGCCACACTTCCAGGCAATGCATCCCAGACCTGAACTATGTGTTTCAGGAAAATTGTTTTTTCTCGCAGCACACTTGCTTCTTTTGCAATTTACTTGAAATATGTGCTTTCTCATTCTTTAGTGCTCTTTTAACAAGGTAACAGTTTCTTCCAATCTTTTTTTTTTTTTTGTTCAGGATTCTCTGATTTAGAAAACTTTGATCAGATCTACTCCTATCTCCACAGAGAATAGTCCAGCTTCTCCAACTTGTCCGTTATAACTGAAGTTTCTCATCTCTACAATCATTCTTGTAAACTTTTTCTGCACTCTCTCTCTGCAAAGTGTTCACATTATTTCTGTGGCACCCATAACTATACATAATGCTCCAGGCGATATCTAATCTGTGTCCTGTATAAGTTTTTTTTTAGCATCACCTTGCTGTATTACTGGAAGGGTTCCAAAGAAAGACTATAGTTTGATTACCTTGGATTCTTTTTGGCTTTTTGCCAAACTTCAGTCAAATTGAATCTAAGTAATCTCTTCCGTTACATAAAATTAATTTTAAATTAAAGAATTTTAATTAGAAATGAAAGACAATTAATGAAACTATGAAATGCAGGATTAATCAAAAAGGTTTTAAATTCCTGGAATGAAACATTTGTTGGGTTTCAAGGATGAATTAGATGAGCTCTTGCCAACAAATGGAATTTAGAATTATTAGGACCATGACCAGGAAATATTGTGGCCAGGTTAGTTAATTGGGCTGAAGGTAATTTCCTCTTTAAAACAAACAGTATTGTCTCTTGATCAGTTTAATTCTATTTTTAACTTTCAGGTCAAAGAGCATTTGTTTAGCTTTTACTGTTATCTATTCATTACCTCATTACACTGACTGGTAGGTAGTTCTTGGGCAGTGTGATTAGCCTTTTATTTCCTTGTTTTGGAATTTGGATAAAAATGTGTTCTTATTATTGGAGATTTCTGCTTTCTCTTCTTGTAAATACAGATTTTGTGGATTCATTCTCTTGGCAACGTTGCTGTAATTTGGAAGCCAAATGTGCAGAGGGCCAGCAAAATATATTTTAAAATGGTGATTAATACACTGAACTAATTGAGCAAGGCTAGAAAAATTATAGATGATATGGGGGTTCATTTGAGAGTGAGAAAATAAATCCAGATTGTAAAAGTTGCTGTCTGCTCTTTGCATCCATGTTTTAGTGGTGACTTTAAGCTGCGATCCTGATTTTTCTTTTTTTGTTTTTTTTCCCCCAATTCCGCAACTCCATGCCCAAAGCATTTTTAAATTTTAACATGCTGTAATTTGAATCTAGGACTGTTTGTCACTCTCTTGGTGAGGGTGATTTGTACATGAAATATTCTTCCAAATGTTGGTGCATTGTTGGATTGCTAATTCTACAGACTATATTTATTTTTATTGACTTCCTGAATCTTGACCTAATATTTGATTGAGCTGTTTGACACTGCAAATTTTGTTATATACCAATGTTCTTTTCACTGTTTGATTAATTTCCATATCTTTTGTCCTTAGATCGTAATGTCATTCAGAAACTGAAGAAAAATGCAGAGGAAGAATGGTGAGATTTGTATTTTGAGTAGCTGGCTTGTTGCTGAATGAAGTATAATCCTTTTCTTAAAACTGTCATCCCTGGAAGATATCTTGCTGTATAACTCTTCCCAAGAAACTAGCCTTCGCTATAGAAAGCACAGCAGTAATATTAACCTTGTCCTGGAGGTAATTGCTTTGACTGGGTCCGTTTCACAAATGTAAGTTGCCTGCTGCTTCTTTCCCAAGTGAGTTTATAGTGTGTGCTATGGCTGGTGGAACACGGTCACTAAATGATCCTGTTACTGTTTGGAATTTGCTAATATAGATTTGTAGCATAGCTCCCGCACAAGGAACTCTGCGGCTTTGCTTACCAAATCCTTTCTAAACCAGGTTCACGGTCCTATTTTAGTGACCCTACTTCTCTAGTTGATGTCCAACCTATTTGCATTACTTACCTTTTTAGATGTATACTAGAGAATCTCAGAATTCAATTTGTAATGTTCATAAAAACCAAAACGACTGCGGATGCAGTAAATCAAACAAAAACAGAACCTGCTGGAAAAGCTCGGCAGGTCTGGCAGCATCTGTGAAGAGAAATCCAGAGAGTCAACATTTTGCGTCCGGTTACCCTTCCTCAGAAGTGTTTGTGATGTTCATAATTAGTTTGAAACGTTCTAAGTCATTGTAGACAAGATGCATCTGTTCTTGGTGACTGCCAGTGAGTCTTATTTCTAGGTGTTGTGTGATGTCAAAGTGCTTTGAAAATTTTTAGGAATTGTCTATAAAAGCTACAGCCTTTAAACTGCATACTTCAGCTTTGCAAAAGTTGCTACCACATCTGAAAAGTTGTGACCTTTAAATTTGTTGTAACCAAAGGTAGTATAAGCAAGCTGTTCAAATGTGAGAAACACATTTAGTACAAGAATAAAAACCGAAAAAGAACTGTGGATGCTGTAAATCAGGAACAAAAAGTTGCTGGAAAAGCTCAGCAGGTCTGGCAGCATCTGTGAAGAATAAAAGAGCGAGAGTTAATATTTCGGGTCTAGTGACCCTTCCTTGGTTCTGAGGAAGGGTCACTGGACCTGAAACGTTAACTCTCTCTCTTTCATTCTTCACAGATGCTGCCAGAGCTGCTGAGCTTTTCAGCAACTTTGTTTTTGTTTAGTACAAGACTGATGGCAATCAAGTTTAAGTCTGTCTTTTTTCCTGAGCAATATTTAAAAATGTTCTGCTAGACCATTTCATCTTGCAATCGTTCTGAGTGCAAGAATACCAGTTCAAGGAGAAAGCAATGTATATGCTATGTGGGAGAGGAGTGTGCCGATTTGGCTGGCAAGTGGATTTTTGATAGAAGTCTTGCCCTGGTGAATGCGATAATTAATTATTGACAGCTCACTGCCAGGCTTTGGTTAAATTTTAAATCGGCAGGTTGATTCTGGTCAGGGCCTTAAGAATTGAACTTGTGAACAGGATGCATTTTGTCTACAATGAATTAGAACTTTTCAAACCAATTATGAACACCACATATTGAATTCTGTGATTCTCTTGTACAGTGACAAAAAGGTAAATAGTACAAACAAGTTGGATTTATTTTGGAGAAATAGGGGTCACTAAAGTATGACTGAGAACCTGGCTGCCATCACTTTTATGGAGTTGAAATGGGCACAGCGCATGTACACGTTCTCTTGTCTGCAAACAGGGCCTTGTGTATTACTATGTAGCTTCTAGTACAGCTATGTGCCACACTGCATGACTGACCATCCTAAAGTGTCAGCATAATTTTGTGCACACTATGGATTACTCAATTGCAGAATCAATGTTGGACACTCTCTTGCATGTTTTCTAAGCATTGTCTGGTTGGGAATGATCAACACCTTGTTCGTTGCGAACAGTTGAAATGATATGCTGTTTGATATGATCTGCCAGTGTTACGGATGTATGGTCTACATACATTTTAAGTGTATTCTGTGATCTAGATATTTTCTAGTGGACCTGTTCGTAGATGCTTTGTCACTCCTCTGGAACAGATGGGACTTGAACCTGGGCCTCCTGGCTCTGGACTAAAAGTAGTTAAATTCCACCATAGCAGCTGAGGCAATCTGCAACATTTTTAAGAGTAGATGTTTCTAAAGGCCTGCATTTATTTTTTTTTTTCCTTTTTTCTTTTTAGAAGTTAGTTCACCTGTTTCCTAATGTTGATGAATTCTATATATACTTTTCAAAAAAAAAAAATTCCAGGTGCTGCTCAATATCTTTGCCCAGAAACTGATAAGTTCTTCATGTAATCTCTCTAAGGGACCGACATCAACAGAACTTGGTCCACAGGGAATGATACAAGGAAGAAATGGGGAAGAGCCAAGTTTTAGCATCTCCATGCTTTATGGCATTCTATTTTTTTGGCCAGCTTGCACGTTGCCTCGAAGAGCTCCTATTTTTTTTTCTCCTACAAGCTGAGAGTAACTTACTCCTTCTGTCATTGTATTCCTCTCTTTCTGTCTCCACTTTCTTTTTGTCTAAATATATGCCCTCCCCCTCCAATTCCTCTGCTGTAGTTCTTTTTGCCTCTGGCCGACCTTTGTGCCTTATCATGGTGGCACCTGTATTTCAGACTACCTTCCCATTCGTGGTGCTCCCAGGTAATGTGGACCAGTATATGTTCATGTCTAAGAAATGTACAGTTGATCACTTTGCAGTTGATGCAACTTCCTAAGTCCTTTTCAAATACTATACAGACAAATGAAATAGAAACTAAAGCAGGCCATTTGTCCTTCAAACCTGCTCGGCCATTCAAGAAAAGAATACTGATCTGTTTGCTTTTGAATTCTACTTTTGCATCTACCCCAATAACCTTTGTTTTTAAAAAAAACTTTAGATTCCTAATGAAACACTTTATCCACTCATGTCTTAAAAAGATTTAACAATCCCAACTGAAGTCCCACAACCCTTACGGGGGGGGAAAAAAAAAGTTCCCCTCCCCCCTCTCCTGAAAGGGCAACCACTAATTTTAATACAGTGCCCCCTAGGTCTGCACTGATCCTTAAGAGGAACCATCATTTCCACATCCACTTTGTCCAGATTTGTTCAGGAACTTGTGTACTTCAATCAAGTCACCTCTCATGCTTAAATCTCTAGTGGAAACGAGCTCATTATTTAGGAGTCAACTCACTCATTTCAGATATTCATCCAATACATTTACATCAGTCTTTAAATAAAGATACTAAAGTTCCATACTCTGTTCAAGATAGGGTTCTGACAATGTCCTGTATAACTGAAGCATAATCATTTTAAGCAACTGAAGCACTTTATGTTCAGGTCCCCTCAAAAGACACCATCCCATTAGCTTTCTTGATTGCATGCTGTACCTGCAAAATTTGTGTGACTCCTGCACCAGAATACCCAAATCCATCTGCACTTAGGAATTCAGCGTCATTCTCCATCTTAAAGAATACTCTACTTTTTCTTCCTGCTGAAGGGATCAACTTCACATTTTCTCACATTGTACTTCTCCCAATTCTTTTGCCCACCCAACCAATAATTTATATCCATTTGCAACCTCCTCGGTCTTCACAGCATAACTTTTGTTCCTATCTTTGTGTCATCTGTGACTGTAGCTGCCATGCCTTTGCTCCCCTCATTTAAGTCATTGAGGTAAATTGATCTTTTATAAAAAATGTTGGAACCACAGCACAGATGCTATGGTACCCTACTCCTCCCCATACTCCTCACTATCCCATACAACATGAGTTTTTGTTTGTCACACTAATCTTTGTGGCACTGTATCAAATGCCTCTTTGAAATCTAAATATAACATACCTCCTGGCTTCCCTTTATTCACAATGCGTTTTATTCTTAAAGCCAACTGCAGATTCCACAGACATGGTAAGAAATTACAACTTTTTTATTCCTGTATTGTTTCCAGGTTAACAAATGTAACAAAAACATTGCTTTTGGAGGTGCACAAGAAGCAATGGTAATTAACATAAGTTCTGTAGCTGGGCCACATTATGCGTTTTGCTGCAAGGATACTGTGTGGTTTAAGGAGACGGTCTAGCACCATTATCTTGGGACAACTGATGATGGAACTATCATGTGCGATCCACATCCTGCAGAATCAGAAATACAGCTGCAAAAGGAGGCAGTAAAATAGGCAATACAAGGATGCTAGGTGAGGTGATAGTGATTAAGAGGAGAATTAATTACCTCTAAAGGTGAGCAGGGGTAATATTTTTGCCCTGATTTGTAACTTTTGTAAACCGTATATCTCCACTAATAGGTGAATTTCAACAATTTGGTACAGTATATGACCAAATAATGAACACTTATTTTTGGCAAAGGCGTCTGGATTCGGATCCTGGAAATATAATTGCATCTATTGAGTTTGGTTGGATGAATTGACCTTTTCTAGGCTGCTGAGTATTGTTTTAGCTGCTTTGGTAGAAGTTACATTGAAACATAGAAGATGGGAGCAGGATGTAGGCCATTCAAGCCCTTGTGCCTGTGCTGCTAATCTTTTAATAGTATGGATGATCATGGAGCGCTCTTCTCCCTCCTCCTCCCACTTCCCCCTTACCACACATTCTTTGATTCCTCTAGCTGCAACAGCTATATCTACCACCTTCTTGAAAATGCATAATATCTTGGCTTCCTCACTTTCTGTGGTAATGAATTAAATTCCACAGGGTCATCACTCTAGATGAAGAAAGTTCTCCTCATCTCAGTCCCTAAAAGGGTTACCTCTTATCCTTTTAAAACGATGACCACTGGTTCTGGGCTCTCCCACCACTGAACATGCTTCCTCATCTAACCTGTCCAATCCCTTTAAAATTTATAGGATTCTGAGATTCTCCTTCTTCTAAACACCAGTGAATATAATCCTGACCGACTCAATCTCTCCTCATACGTCAGTCCTGCCATCCCAGGAATCAAGTAGCTATAGCTAAAATCTGAGCAACGTTTTCATTGAAGATTGTTGGATGTGCTTTGGTCTGAAGCCTCCTTGGCTGAGTTGTGCACCCTTTCTTTTAGCTTTAGT